TACGATATCGTCATTACAATGGAAGACCTAAAATTCCAAATTGAAAATTAATGCTTTATGTAAGATATAACGGGTAAATATGCCCTCAAGAGCAATATAATGAAAATGACATTTTTTGGCCGATTCGCAATATGAACATGTTTCAAAAATACACAGGTTTTATCAAGAAATACATTAACTAATGAACATGTAAATTGACAAACGACATAGTAAATCTGATCGATCATGTTTTAAATTTTTGCTTGGAATTCAACAAGTATAATTGCTAAGTTTATGTATAAATATGTAGATCATTACCAAATATGTCAAAATATATAATATTCATCAAATATGTAAAATAAACTGTCGTAGAAAAAAAAAATATAAACCCAGTCCCAGTTGTTGAAAAAAACTGGACACTAATTCTAAATAAAACAGAATTTGAGAGAAACGTGAGCTTTTAAGTAGAACAAACTCCTTTCGCTTAACTGGAGTGTAGATGAAGATTGGAAAAAAAGAGATTCTAATAAATGAATGATTCGACAAAGATTAAATTTATGCTGTCAACAAAAAGAATGACGACACTCTTAAGATGGTCAGACGAAACGCCAAAATATTTTATGAGATAAAAAAAGGTGTTGGATCAGCCAATTCAAGTCATCAAACAAACTAGGAAATAGTGATATCCACATCCGAAAGTATTTCTTAATAAAGAAAGTAACGTAGTTGGATAAAAATCTTGAGTATTGTCCATAACACTTTGAGCAATCCATGGTTAACTAGAAACCAAAAGAGTCCAGAAAGAAGAGATATTTTTTCATACAGCGCAGTCTGATCGAAATATCATACTTGGAAGAATTAGAGGAAGCTTTAGACAAAATAAAAAATAATAGAGCTGCTGAAGTGGATAATGTTTCACTCGAGCTATGAAACATGGGGTCCTCAATTAAAGAACTTCACAAAATATTCTTCAAAGGGTGAAAAAAATTCATTGCCTCCTGATTGGAGAATAAGTTGTCAAGCGGAATTATTATTCCCAACATCAGTTTCACTTGCCGTTACAAGAAGCTTTATAGATTTATCGGCCATTTGTGGAAGAATAAAACATCTAGATATAATAAGCAATATGAGAAAGATACTAACTGATTCGGAAGTATGAAGGGGGGAGCAGCTGGTATTGAGATGCATCGGGTGCCTACAACCAAAGCAACGGCCCCCCATGTAAGATATGTTCTAATATCTTAGCCAACAGCCTCTGCACCTTTTTCGAAGAAATATCAGGCTATCAGTGTGGCTTTAGATCAAACCGAAGTACTGCTGATCAGCATATTATATTTATTGACTTTCAGGAAATTTTTCATAGGTTACCACAAACACTAACATATCTCTTGAAAGCATTAAAGGATTTTGGCATACCAGATAAAACTTGGTGAATATGACATTTATTCATGCTCAAGCCAAAGTTATCAAAGGAAATCAACCAAGCGAACAATTTTCTGTTGAATCTGGTGTGCGACTGAGAGAAGGTCTATCATTACAATTATCCATTCTGGCTCTGCCACTTGGGGGATTGGAGAAAAAAGATCCATTGTTTATAGAATAATATACAATTTAAAAAATTAAAATCAGACCTTATTATTATTTTTTTTTTAAAATACAGACCATAAAACAAGAAAAAGAAAATCAAGACTTCGAAATCTTCATTTCATTGATATTTTGTTTGTAAAAATATGTGAAACTAATTTTTATCAATACTCTGCCATGTCCCACCTCAATTTTATATAAAAAATAAACACAAAACAAAATAAAACAATAACTTTATTCAACAATTAATAATTTCCAATTATGTAAAAAATCTATTTTTCACGTTTTGTTATTATAACATTTCACAATACATGTAGGAAAATAAATTAGTTTTAAAAAGCCAGAGGGAAAATTAGTTAACAGTAGGATAATAAAAAACAAAAATATATAAATAAAAATAAAAACTAAAACTTAATATTATACATGAATATAAAAGAATAGTAAACATGATATTTGCTAATCTATTATATTATGATGTGCATCATTACATATATTACACATATACTTAAACCAGACACCATAGAGTAAAGGAATACTTACTATTTATATTACTATAACAATTAGTTATTCAAAAGAATATGTTTTGTATGGCTTCATATCTTCTCTGTTTACTATGGAGTTATTGATGTCGAATGATTTTTGGCATTTTTCATAATTTACAAAATGTTTTTCTTGACGGTATGAAACCATCCAATAGTATGTTTGGGCAATCTATGAATAAATGCCTTACACATTTAAAACATTTTAGTTTTTACTACGTGATTGAATTAGAGGCATAGATATCATAGGATTAAAGTTTTTTTTCTATTATATTTTTTCCTACTAATTTGGATCTTCGTTATATTTAATGTTTTTTAAATTTATAATTACTTACTTTCTAAGCACTATAACCAACTAGTGCAAGACCTCTAAAATCAACCTCTGTTAAACACCTCGGTTGTATGCCACAGCCAATCAGTTTCTTACACCTAGCATTGTCCAGGATTGAGCCACTCCATGTAACCAGTTTCGTCCTTCCAGGCCTCTTTCTCCTATGTATCTTCTCTGATAAGATTTTTATTTTTTTGGGGTCTCTAATTCCGACATTCTTGACATATGTCCAGTCCATCGGAACCTCCTTGCACATATATTTTTTTGCAACATTTTTAAACTATAAACTATAAAGTCCTCGTATAAACTATAGATTTGCTGATTTCTTCTTGTCCTCCAGGTGTCCTCGAGACAAATTCCTCCAAGCATGCACCACAAATTTATTTTTTTCTAAAATAACAACATAGAAAGGAAGTTTTTCACTGTTATTTCTTAGATTCAAAATAAGTTTTTAAATTCCTAGTCTTAAGGTTTTCCAAACTGTTCTCTTTAGGATATTCTGGGAGCATCCCTTTAAGAACCGCTTTTATTTAATCATTTTGTGCTGTGTTTTAAATTTTTTTTTTTAGAACCTTAAGTTCTTTTTTTTTTTGTGCAATATCACAATTTTCGCTAATATATACATAAAATATGGTTTTGCTCCTGTCATATTTTAGGTTAATTTCTTTTACTTTTAATTTTCAATGGTTTTGTTGTTTTTAAAAGTCACATTGCCTTTTTCGTCCTCATAGTCGAGTAAAATAGAATAAATGTTATTATTATACTTACTTGATCATTGCATGCTAGGGTTCCTCTTTTTCGGGTACCTTTTTTTCCTTAAGAAGAATTTAGTAGATTTTGGGTTTCTTATGAACCTCGTCCATGTTTCTTTTTATCTCCCAAGAGTTATTGTTTTTCTCACTACTGTAAAATTGCTACCAAAAATCATAAATGTTAGATAGAATTGATTTTGCTGCACTAAGGTTAAAACCCAAACCGGTTGCTTTGGCGAGATTCAATATAATAAAATTATAAAGTAGTTTGTAATAAACTGCGTTTGAAAATAACACATAAAATATTACGTGTTATCATTGTTTATGAACTGGATGAGGATACAAGCACAGTAAAGAAAGAAATTTTCAGTTTTAAACAGTTGTTTAAAGTTTACCAACTTTGTAGGTAATGCCCATACCCTTCGGACAAAATTTGAAACTTTCTGAAAGAATGGTCCATATACTCTCAGAAAAATATCAAGTCATGACTTGTCAATAAACAACAAACAAGCACTTAAAAATGAGGAAAGGATTCTGTCTCCAATGCAACATTGTTCTTTGCGCAGAGTAACGGAATGAACTGATCTCTGTTACAGTTACACATCGAATTATATCCCAGGATTTTGCGTTATGAATAAAGTGGATATGCTAAACTTAAAAATTCTGAACGTTCATCTGCAACATAATCGGATCATAATTTCTAAAGTATGTATGTTATTTCCCGAAGAAAAATAACATCCTATAGGCGAAATTTTATAAATGCGGAAAAAGGACGACTCATATATAGTTGTCTTCAGTTCACTGATTTCTTCTGATGAAAATTACGGAAAATTGTGTGAAAGAGAGATTTAGTATTTTCTGAAGAAAGATTAACCTGTTGAATGTACAAGATGGCCAAGCGTTCAAGTGAAAAATTCTTATTATTATTATTAATTATTGAGATCAGATTAAACAAAAAAGAAAATTTTTTTGGCACAGAAAAAGTACATTGAGATGTAAGCAAGATCATCAACTGATTGAGTATTTCGTGGCATATCCTCGATGATCCACGACCGAACAATAACTGCATATGTATATAACAGCACTGAAAAGTGCGATGCGCCACTAACGAAATAGACAAAACTCGATGTTCTTGAGTTTATTTACAATAATTTATTGATAAAGGCTGTAATGTTGAGACGGCAATTTATTTAGATTCGAACAAAGAACATTTACCTAGCTCAATAATTCCAATATTTTAATAATTTGCCTGTCAGAATGGTTTCAAAGTCTACGGACAAAGAATTGCCTTATCAAATAATATTAATAAAAATAATAAGTTAAATAATAATAATTTGATTTGAAAAAAAAAACATAATGAAATTAATTTCATTTTCAGATCCAATCAAAGGATTTGATTCGCACAAAGTTTAGATTTGTGGATAAAGTTGTGAAGGTGAAATAGATATAATGAAAAAAAAATAATAACAATATAAACTAACAAAAAAAGACCTTTTTTTTTGTTTTTATTTTGATCTAGTTTTTTCTTCGATAAAAATTAATTTATTTCATTTAACTTTTTTTAGGAATCTAGAAAAATATTTTTAAAAATTGTTGAACGTAAGTCCAGCTACAAATTTTGGATTTTAAAAAAACTCTTAAAAATAAAAACAACACAAAATATCTTAAACCTCTTAAAAAGAAAGTTAACGTAATCTTTTGGAAGTTATATTCCTAATAATGGTATAACTGAAAGCGTCATATTTAAAACTAAAGAATACAGAACTATCTGCTTTAAACTTGAAAACTATAAATTTAAAGTCTAATATTACTTACTTTTTTACTTTTGGCTTTCTTTTAGGTTCTTCAGCTTTCCTTTTCTTTGGTGTATATTCAACATCTTTTCTAATGGAAATAAAGAGCGATGTATGAACAATTAGATAAAATAATTGTAGTTATTACACTGACATTAGTCATTTAATAAACGTTTTAATTATTCATAAAAACGTATAATTATAACACATATAATTAGTAGGATAAAAATGGTCTAAAGAAAAATTAATAAAAAACATTTTTATATTATTTTTTGTAGTGCAATAAATTTTCCACTACTCATTGATAACAGATTATGCAAATAGAAACAGTGACTTAATTAGACTAACCTTCAAATTCAAATTAAAACTCAAGATGATACATGGACGACTCTTTTATGCTTATTTACTTATTTTAAAACATTAGTGGAAGACCAACTACAGGTTTGAAAATTCGATGTCTTATGTTAAGGAGACTAGTCTTTCTTTAAAATATGGGACAACAACCACAGAAAGATTTTTTGTGATAGAAATTCATAAAAACCATGTAACTTTAAGAAAAATTTTAATTTTTTTTACCAATATAAAATACCCAATTTAGACAGTAGTTTGGGAAGTAATCATTTGCGATGTGTCCCTTATCAAAGAATCCATCCTCTATCAAATATTATTTCTTGAGTAAATTCAAGCACAGAAATATTATCGTGGATTTCAAAGCAGCTTATTATTGTATAAAAAGGCCTGCGCTATACAAAGAACAAGCTTATCCATTTTACAAAAACGTCAGGCATTGACTTCATGGTGGTTATCCAAAGATGTCAGAAATGACGCAAGTATATTTATTTTATAGGAAGGTAAGGAAAAGAGGGGTAAAATATAAAATTTCACAACAATTTCATTAGTTAGAACAAACTTTCACGACATTTTCAAAGTTTCAACAAATATTCCAACGATATCAATTATAGTAAAATGACCCAACAATCATTTGGTGCACACACACACTCTCCTTGGCGGTACAGATCTGTATGGTCCTTGGACTCCTCCGGCATAGGTGCAACTTTGCCATCGCAGTTTTACCAACCTAATTATTATCAGCCTCATCATAGAGTTGGTAAATTTCCCTGTTCGTCCTCCGTCTCCAGTCTCTCTAAACTTTCCCAATCCTAATATTCGTCGAGGAACATTTCATTCGAATATAAGAATTTTACTCTTCTCATTATTTGCGAGGCTCCAGGTCTCTGATCCATATGTTAGAGTAGGCCTCATTAGAGTCTTAAACAAGAGACACCTAGTATGGCGGAAGAGGTTTAGAACAGCTGCTTTCTGAGATAAAATAGCACCTGTTGGCTTTGATGAGTCACTGACTGGTTTCCATGGAGACACTGTTTCCACAACTCACCTCTGACCCCAGGTACTAGTCGACTAATATGGAATATGGACCCATCACCATGGGCTGTCGATCAACAGTATCTGCCCCAGAACCAGCTGCCATATACTTTATCTTTTCCTGGTTTCCATACATCCCCATATCCTCCGCAGCTATCACAAACTTGAGAAACAATCTCCTAAGGGCTGGATTAAAAATGTAGTAGATGTTACAAATTCTACCGGTCCTGCATCAAGTGCAGACAATTTTATAGTTTATGTTTTATATACTATAGTTGACTGCAGTTAACAGAATATATTATTTTTCGGTATAAAAGCGCTTAAAAAGTGATTTTAAAGAATATTGTGGAAGAAATAACCTCATCTTAAAACGACCTTAAATGTAATTTATTAAGTTGATTTGCCTAATGTTCGATTTTCTCATATTAAATGAAGAATGTCATGTTTGCTTTCAAAATTTGAGTTTTATCATATAATCATACAAAACCTATCTAGGCTTTCCTTTATAATATTTATAAGGCCCCATGTTAGTTTAATCCGTCTTTGATTAACTTAGTTAATCGCTATGTTTACCAGTTATTATCAATATATACCTTTTGAATACACAATATGATCTTCTTTGTCTGATTTTACGTTCTTTTTTGGGAGGTTTCTGTTTCCTAGAAATCAAATAAGAAGAATGAATATTAACATTTGCAAAACAAATAGGTTTTGAAATAATCTTTCAGGACTACAAAAAAAACATTTAATAATTAATAATGCCTCGCGCGGGCTCATTACCGCGTATGGGGAGCGTCCCACGGGTGGCGGATGTGGGGATGGTCGGTGGAAATTCCTTGGAAGTTCCTCCCGGCTAAGTCCGATGGACTCGCTGACCAACAATGAGAGGGGCCCTGCAGACTTGCTGGAGGGAGGGGACTTCCAGACTTGCTGGAGGTAGAGGCCCACCAGACTTGCTGGAGGGTGTGACGTAGGATTGAACGCCCTACTCACATATCTTTAGTTCACCAATCACCACAAATAGTCATGGATCTTCCTAAAGTAAAACGCTCATTATCCTGAGGTAAACTAGTCCCCCGTTCGAGTCTCCGAGTCTCGAGTCTCCGGGTGGAGGACTGCTTTAGGGGATTAATGGCGCAAGTTGAAATATAGGGATTTAAATATTGGTACGTGGAACGTAAGGAGTTTAAACACAGCAGGGGGGCTAAAATCGATCGCGAATGAGGTGAATGGGTACAATTTGGATGTCGTGGTTCTGCAAGCGGTTCGCTGGCCAGGAGAGGGCTCGATGAGGGAAGGAAAGTACACTATTTGGTACGGAGGAAGTGGGAATCATTGTTTGGGTACCGGGTTTCTAATTAGGAGTAGATTACTATCCGCTTTGAGGGACGTACAATTCTTTAGTGATAGAATTTCGGTAGCTACATTTCAGGGACGTTGGTTTAAAATCGCATTAAACCGAAAATTGTCCGACCGAAGACAGTGACGATGAAGTCAAAAGTGAATTTTACGATAAACTCGATTGGGTTTATGATAAACTACCGCGAAACTACATGAAAATAATTATAGGTGACGCGAACGCAAAGGTAGGAAGGCAAGAAGTTTATATTCCGACGATTGGTAAAGAAAGTTTGCACGAATATAGTAATGATAATGGGATCCGTCTGATAAACTTTGCCACCTCGAAAAACCTGATAATTAAAAGTACGACGTTTAAACATAAGGATATTCATAAATATACTTGGACATCACCGGATTCGCAAACACGAAATCAAATCGATCATGTCTTGATACAACATAGCTGGCAAAGCAGTATAATTAATGTACGGTCTTATCGCGGAGCAGAATGTGGGTCGGATCATGAATTAGTAATCTCGAAACTTCGACAAAAACGTAATATAAAAAAGAGAAAAGAAAACCGTTTCGATTTTGAAAATTTTAATTTGGAAAAATTAAAAAATCCATCAATTAGAACCCAATTCGAGCTAGATGTTAAGAATAGATTTGAAGCTTTAGAGCTTCCTGACGAGAACCACGAGGATATTGACAAGTTATGGGTAGAGCTCAGGGATAATATTAAAGCGGTCGGTAACTCGTGTCTAGGAAAAAAGGAAAATAAGAATAACAAACCGTGGTTTGATGAAGATTGCTTAAACATGTGCGAAAAACGAAAAGCCGCTAAATTAAAAGCTCTAAATAATCCTAGTGAAGATAATCTGGAATACTTCCGAACCTCAAAGAACGAAACGACAAAATTGCTCAAAAATAAAAAAAGGAGTATCTTAAAAATAAAATAATTGAAATAGAAACTAATAGAATCGAACATAACGTAAGAGACATGTACAAAGGTATAAACAGATCACGTAAATGTGTTGGGTCCGTAACATCTGAAATTAGGGATGATAATAACACTATTCTGACCGATCCGGTTGACATATTGAATAAATTTAAGGACCACTTTGACAATATTTTAAATACGGGAAATTATGATCTGTGTCCTCCTTCTAAGTACCAGAGTGCTGAACCGTTAATAGAAGGACCAAGTAAAGAGGAAGTTGAAGTAGCTATCGGAAAATTAAAATCATATAAAGCAGCGGGAATCGATAATATTCCTACTGAACTAATTAAGGCATGCGGGGAAGCTGGAGTTTCTAAAATACATCGGTTGGTTCAAAAGATCTGGGTGAATGAGAAATTACCTGAAGAATGGAAAGAATCTATTCTTATTCCGATTCACAAAAAGAGAGCGAGGACGGATTGTAATAACTATCGAGAAATTTCACTCCTTCCGGTATGTTATAAAATATTCACTTTAATCTTAACGAGTCGAATCACGGAATACGTCGAGGAAATTATCGGAGACTACCAATGCGGATTTAGACGGAATCGTTCGACTATTGATCAAATATTTTCTTTACGGCAAATATTAGAGAAAAAATTGAAGTACAACGGTATTGTTCACCAGCTGTTTATAGATTTAAAAAAGGCTTACGATTCTATTGACCGCCAGAAACTGTATAATATTCTAATCGAGCAGGGGATTCCTAAAAAAATAGTAAATCTAGTCAGGATGTGCTTGACGGAGACACTCAATGAAGTTAGAATCGGTAATAATCTGTCCGAAAAATTTGAGGTTCGTTCGGGTTAAAAACAGGGGATTCCGTTTCGCCTGTCCTGTTCAATTTGGCATTAGAACATGCCATTAGGGAGGTAATGCGTACCGAGAAAGGGTTGGATCTGGGTGGGACAACATCCGTGCTGGGCTATGCGGATGATCTGAAGGGACTGGGTTTGGATGGCGAACGGTGGAGGGAGGTGTGTAATAAGCGATTGGTGGTGTCGGCATCGAGCCTTCGGGTTCGCTAAGCCTTTTTATTATTATTATTATTATTATTATTAATAATGCAACAATGATTATGAATGATTGATGTACATAAGTGTATGGCCTAGTTATATTCCTCACTGTTAATTATATTATACTATCATTGTTAACTATTAAATTCTACTTCACTTAAACCACGAGTAAAGGTTACACGCACTTTTTTTTAAAAGAATTTTACAGATTTTTCCTGCTCACTACCGAAGGTTTGTTTTCGTCGAGGATATGAAAAAGGAAAAAAAAAGTTTACCTTCAGAATATAAAACTTATTCTAGCATTTGACGTTTGGGATATTAAAGAATAATTTTGGATTTGCCTCTATTACTCTGATGCCATATCCATGTAAGGAATATCCTAATTCCTAAGCTTGTGGAAATGGAGGAACTTAGATATCCTAAAATATGTTTCGAAAAACTAAGAAATAAACGTTACTTAGCTAATCCTGCTCTATCGAAATATAATTGGTGTTCTCAGCTAAAAGTATTGTTAGATACTATTGGAGAAGGAAATCTAGTTCATGAAACAAACCCAGCCATAATTGGAACAAATATTAACAGGATATTAAATAAATATAAACAACATTTGCAGGACGGTGACATGATAACATTGCATAGCTCATCTTATAGTGAACATTTTAACTTTTTTCTTAATAATGATCAGATCTCCCAGTATTTATTGTTCCCGACTAATTTCAAATATACGAAATTATTAATGTAGATCCACCTCTAGGGAAAATGTATGATTAAGATTTCTGTTAATAATAAAATTGCGAAAATTACTCCATATTGCACATCGGCATGTAATCTGTCCGGGTATTTTTCTTGGTTGTTCTCTTAGGTATAGGGGTGATCTTTTAATTTAATTTTAAAACATAGTTTAAATTAGTATTTTAAGGAAATGTGTATTTATTGTTTAATTTATTATTTATGTATATGTATTATTTATGTATACTGTTGACAAGTTTAGATTTTATATTAATTTGATAATTGGGACTATTTTAACTGTCTGATTTTTACCGAATATGATTTTTAATTTATGCTTAAGAGTTTTGTAATATCTGTTATATAGTATAAAAAGGAATGAATTTGTATTTCCATAAGAATAATAATGTTTGTTATTTTGTGATGGACTCCATTTGTATAGGAGTCTTCCTTTAAAACAAATAAAGATTGAATGAATATCCTAATACGTAGAAACTTTAAGATATTATGAGGAGTGGTACTGAAACAACTGATACTACTATTTATGAAATTTCTGTCAATACTTCTGCTTTTCTCGGATCCTTGGGCACATTGTCAAGAACCTTCCGACATGTGTTTAATATTTTTTGATCAAGCAACACCAAAAAATGTTTCATTGAAGTCTGTGACCGCACGTCCGTACCTTCTACTTTTATTTTTTCCTTAATCTTTTTCTATTTCTCTTATTTATTTTTTCTACCCTTTTTCTTTTTAGAAAAATCTTACGTGTTACAAGTTTTTTTTTAAATCTATTTGTATAATGTTTTTTTATTTGTTTAATCGAATATTCGGACGTAAAATATTCTCAATACCCATGCTCCCCTCAAAACCTCTACCTTTCGTCACCGGCCTGCTCCTTGGATGTGTCAGGAAATCAAAGATCTGCAGAAGAGGCGCGACGCTGCCCGAAGACGTTTTAGACGTACGAGGCTTGCAGATGACTACCAAGCGTTCAGGGTGCTTCGCAACTTGGCACAGACAAGGATCCGGCGTGCGAAAGCTTCCTACTTCCATGAAACCCTTTCCTCAGCGCCTGATATCAAATCGAAATGGCTACTGCTTCGTAAACTTTCCATTGGTAATCCTTCCAGATCCCCTACCGCAGCCTATCCTGTATCCTCCGATGATTTAAACTCTTATTTTATATCTGTCGCTAATACCTCTTCTCTACCTTCCTCTTCTGGCTTTGCTCCAGAGATATGCTTTAACGACAATAACTTTTATTTTTCCGATATTTCTCCCACAGACCTGTTAACCGCGGTAACGAAATCCCACACCAATTCCATAGGGCCAGACGGCATTCCTGTCAAATTAATAAAAATATGTCTACCTGAAATCCTCCCAGCTCTCCTTTTTATCTACAATTTCTCCCTTCAGAATTCAGTATTCCCTACCTCTTGGAAAAAAGCCATTGTCCTTCCTTTAAATAAAAAGCCTAATCCATCCTCACCCGAAGATTTCCGTCCAATTTCAATTCTTTCTAACCTCTCAAAGCCTCTTGAAAGACTGGTGCAATCCCAAGTCTCCAAGTTCCTCGAAAAATCCAACCAATTTGATCCTCTCCAATCTGGTTTCCGTCCCGGCTATTCCACACAATCTGCCTTAATTAAAATTACCAACGACATTCAATCTGCAATAGATGATAGAAAATTAACTGTCCTTATTCTTCTAGACTTCTCCAAAGCCTTCGATTCAATCAACCATTCCATCCTCTTCAACAAACTAAAATCATTATCTTTCTCCAATAGTTCCATCTCTTGGTTCCAATCTTTCCTCTCCCAACGCACCCAAGCAGTCTCCATACCCAACCAACCACTATCTGCTTTCCTTTCTTTATCCTCTGGAGTTGTCCAGGGTTCAAGCATATCTCCTCTCCTTTTCAGCTCCTACATTAACGACCTACCTAAATCAATTCTCCATTGTTCCCATCACCTTTATGCAGATGATTCCCAGATCTACCTATCCTTTTCTCCCTCTGAGTTACTGGGGGCATTTGCCAAGATTCAAGAAGACCTTGATCGAATCAATGCCTGGGCAAATGTAAACGGATTAAAGTTAAATGCTGCCAAAACTCAGGCCATTGTCATTGGTTCCAAGCCCCTTATTAGATCCCATACTGACTTTCCCATATTACACCTTAATGACCAGCCAATTTCCTTCTACTCCTCTCTTAAAAATTTAGGATTTTTCATAGATCAAACCCTCTCCTGGACCTACCATATTTCTCACATTTCCCGTCGGACAATTTCTACCCTTAAACTATTTCATCGCTTCCGCCATCTCCTACCTCAACATATCCGTAGACTCCTAATTTCCTCTCTCATCTTCCCCCACTTTGACTACAGCTGTGTGGTGTATGATGGCCTCTCGGTAGAGCTCCGTGATAGACTGAAAAGATTAATGAATAGCTGCGTAAGATTTGTTATTGGTGCCCCGAGGTACTCCCATGTCTCTCACCACTACACTGAGTTAAGGTGGCTCTTTCCCTCCTTCCGAAGACAATATTTTCTAGGTACGTTCCTCTACCAAATCATCAACAACCATCGTCCTTCTTACGCCTACAACCTTCTCCAGTTCAAATCCTCAGTCCATTCCCTGTCCACAAGATGTCGACCTTCTGACCTTTACATGCCTTCTCACAGATCTGCCTCATTCTAAAATTCCTTTATTGTTCGCTCTGTCAATTTCTGGAATTCCCTCCCTATCAAAATTCGACATTCCCCCTCCATATCCACATTCAAATCCCTCCTATTCCAATTCCTATCACAAAAACAGTCAGATACTTGCTAACCATTCGAGCGGATTTTAATAGAGAATTTGATACATTTTTATTTTTTAATTCTTTATTTTTTTCGGAAAAGTGTATACTGGTCTATAAGAGCAAATAGCTTTAAATGTCTTGTCATAGTATTAATGGTTTTGTATATAGTTTAGTTTGTTTTGTATATAGAATTTTTACTTTATATTTTTTTTACATTATTTCTTTTTTTCGATTGATTTTATTTTGGCCAGATGTAATATTTTAATTTTGTTCTATTTTGTTATTCTCAAGGGACTGTGTCCCAGAATAAAGTTATTTTTCTATCTTCTATCTATCTATCTAAAAATTAGTGAATGGGATATTTCTTTCTCCCTTTTCTATTTTATAATATAAATGTTTTTTTCTCTTGTTTTTCATTATGTACCCAATAAAAATGGCGTGCAAGCCATGCTGACCTATTGGTAGACTTTCTTTTTGTTTCTTCATTAATATTGAAAGACATGTTTTTGTTTAAAGACTGCAAAAATAAACCCTAAGCTGTAATTTACTCTAATTAATAAATAGCAATGAATTTGTTATGAATATTTCCATTATCCAAACCGAATAAGTTAATAAGTTTTTTCACTTATCCAAATATTTATTTTTAACCGACAATAAGTGGACGAACTTACGGTTTCTTTTCACGTGATGGGGCTCGTGCGATCTGTTTCGCAGGCACACACCTAGAAACAACATGTAAGTGAAAATTTGTATTACAGTTTAGACATTTATCATTACGCATTTAACTATTAAAAATCCTGTTAAAGATCACTTTGATAGTGCTTTAACAGGACAAACATTAAAGCTTTAATATTTTAGCTTCATTGGAAGTACTTTTCTCCTATTTTTCGATCTTATGTCAAATAAAATAAAACCACAAATAAATAAATCACTATAAAAAAATTATCTAAATTACTTTTTACGTAGTACTTTTTGAACGACTCATAATGAACCGAAAGTAAGTGAACTGAGTTAACTTTTATTTTTAAATAAAAAAAGCACTTCAATAACACAAAGATAAAAGAAAAAATATTTGACTGAAATATAACATATTTCAAATGAATATGATACATCAATAATACTTAAACAAAATATTTGTGAAGAAAATGTTAAGTTAGTACTATTTTCAATTGTATGAGGTGACTCGTATTTTTATGCAAAAAAAAAAAAAATAATACAAATGAACACACTATATGCACAAACACATAACTAAAATACATTAAAATATTATTAAAATAAAATATTGATGAAAATATAAATTGGTGTTATTTACAATTCGTTCAAAAACAAATTAGTTATGCAATGAAAATTTATTTCGCTTCATTTTCCACTATTTTTTTTCCAACATTAAATAAAATTTTGTTTTTACTTCAACATGCACACACACTCTATCTCCTCATTTTTTTATTTGATTCCATTTGTTCGAATCATATCTATCCGTAAGATAATTGTTTATAGTTTTTAATGTATGTTATAAAGAGTGTGTATATATTGATTGCACTTTTTTAATGTAGTTTTTGGATATTAATGTTTTCAGTTAACTTGAAAATATTTGCAATTTTTAAGAGACCTGGTTCCTGAATAAAAATTTTTTTTTTATTCCATTACATTTAATTATTTTATAAATCGCTCGAAAATTTACGGAATATCGGAGGCCTGACATTTCCCACCTCGAAAATACACAAATCGTATTTCATAATGATTTGAAGATTATTGTGCATTCAACATTTAGAGCCGAGATTAATGGATAACATTATGAAAAATGTTAATGCAAAACAAAATGTGAAAAATTGATTTAGAAAAAATGGCAAGTTGACACTCAGAATTGATGCATCAAATTTAAATTTAAAAAATACAGATATGAATATAGGCTAAAATTTACTTGATTTATAGTCATGGCGTAAAAAGAGAGGCGAGATTTCATTCGAGTCTTTCAGTTGACAAAATGATTAATTCCAATTTCAATATTTTTTAGTAAAGTTATTTTAGTTTAATAAATTTTCCTACTAGAAATGTAACTGAAATTAATAATCAAAAATGTTGAAATTGGAGTAAGTCATTCTGTCAACCCTGCTTATGTCATAATACGCTCCAATTATTTCTTGAAACTTTTTAATTTCTTTCGCATCCGCATTACATCCCAAAAATTCTAATTTAAAACGGTTAAGGAAATGTGAAGTCTTCCTTCGTTTAAAAGTATCTTTTGTCTCTTTAAAAAAAAAAATTATCTACTGTGGGATTAGAGTGAAGAATTCGAAAAAAAAAATTGTAGTTAGAAAAAAAAATACTAAATTAATAAAAAACATAACTATTTAAAAATATAACAGAAATTTGTTTAATATAAAAAATAAGAGGTATAAGAGACACTGTTAAAAAACATAAAGAGGTTATATATCAACAGCCACACTGCAAAAGCCTGTAAGTACAATTTCAATATAAAGAGCAGTTTTTAGCTTTTCTGGTAAATTTTGACCTCGTTCATATTCAGAAAAACATACTTTGAAAAACTAGTTCCTGTCTATAGCATGCAGTAAAAAATGAACGGAAAATAGAGTTCAAAAATTAAACAAAAGTAGAAAATATTAATTTGTAGGTACTTACCTATTAAATTGTACTTACCTAATACTGACAACACTCTCTTTAGATTCAAATTCAGTGCAAGCATCCCTGAAAAAAAAATATTGTTACACATGATAGAAGATAATTTATTTTTTACTTCCCTCGCCGTGCCTGTATGAGGAAGGTATTGTAATATGGGAGCATATCCACTGTCCAGTTTTCTCCAGATCTGTACCAACTAAAAAAAAAATGCTGATGACCGGTCCGTGCAAAAATCCGCACCGCAGTTTCTCTCCAGATTCTTGTCCGGGATGTCCTACTGACTAGAAAACTGCATGTTGCCAACTCCGAATGTGGTAGGTTTAGGCTGGAAGCAAATTGTTTACGCGGTAATTCTGAGAAAATTTTGTTATTTCATATTTTTGGTAAAACGGTGTGAGTAAATCGAATGCGGAGTTTTATAGAGGGTCCTCTCAAATATATTTCCTCATTTATGTTTCTTATTTTATATGCTAGATCGAAATGGTTCTAATGAACTACTACCCTTAATTTTCCAAGTAAAATTCAAATTTAAAAATTTACGCTAATGTTCTTTGTGTTTATCGTCATTAACTTCATTTTCCCTGATTAAGATCCTCATATTTATTATATATTCAGAGTCTAAATCAAATTTCAAGAAAAAAATATTTTGGAAAAAATCTTAAACAAAAGTTCTAAGTAAGTTCTCCATTTACAGTAAAAGTATAACTTTTATTTAACTTCTTAAAAAAGATTTCGTTAAATGAGAAATAAACAGTAATTGGGCTTAGATTTGAGTTATAATTTGTGCAAAATTGATAAAACATGATTATTATATGTCTTATGTTTGAGTAGATAAGAATAAAAATCATTTTTAGTTAGACTTTTTAGCGAAATCGACAGAACTTGTAAGTAAAAGTTTTTAAATATAAAAGTTCTGTAAAACCTTTACTGGAGAGGTCTGTCGATTTCGCTAAAAAGGATAAAAGATCTTGGGTTAAGTACTATTAGGAAAGTATTGTTTCTAGGACAATGGTTGTGCAAGGAGGTAAAAGGAGACCGAGATCACGCTCAACCGCAAGGTTTTCCCCTTTTATTAATTATTTAATTAAGGGTAGAAACTTTATAGAGGCTGGGTGTATCGCAGGAGGGTCTCTTAATTGCACGGTCGCCCCACGACAGATGAAACAGAATAAATTATTTTTCTGCTATGAGCCCCGGGATTCGAAATTGGATTCAAAACTTTTAAAAAGTGATAGTTTTCAAGTCCTGCTTTTAATAAAAAAATTGCATAGTCAAGATTTGTTTTCTATAAATCTATTGCATACTTAACGAATGTTACTGTTAAAGGTTCCTGCAGGAGTGTAAAAAAGGATAAGATGATTTAATTCAACTTATGTATTAAGCAGATTAAGCAGTATTTCGTATTATTTTAGATTATATTATATTTAACTTTTTTTTTTTTAAATTTTTTACTTTCGGAGAGGTTTTTTAAACTCGAAGAAGACTACATAGATTCATTTTGTTCCGTGTAGCATTTTCCTATATCGAAATTAAAAAGAGTAAATGAATACTGATAGAAAACTGACAATTGAAGCTGAAGTTTGCTATCAAGGACGTCTATACTAATGTTTACAAAATTTTTTCTTCAAAAAGTTAATAATTTTATAATCTGAATTGGTAGAACTAGAAAGGCTAAGTGGTCAAATAATATAAAAATTACCCTATAGTCTATGGGCCAGACCCCCCACCGTTCACAATCACTCCCCCACATCTCTATAAATTGCATATCGTTGTGTTCCTTGTAACTATTTATTAAAAAAAAAACCAATGTTCCCACAAAAAAAAGTGAACGCACTGCCCCAGAATGGCGTCCAAACATGGCGGACTGACGACTTTGACTGTAGTAAGTTTTTTTGTCACTGAGAATCAACATTTGCCTTAATTTCGTCGTAGTTGGTCTTTTATTAAAGCTGGATAGAGTCAGAGAATAAAAACATGAAAAATATCAAAAAATAATTGGCTTAAGCAATAAAAAACACGAGTAAAATCAATTATTTTAACAAAAAAATTTTCAAGTTGAAACTCAAACGTCGTTTGTAATTAAATGGCCAACAATAACGGAAATCGAACTGAAATAAATTAAATTTATTATTTTATTTTTTATTTATTTTTAAAATTTAATTTCCTTTATTCTATACGGAGGTCATTTAAGAAGGCCTCTATTGTAATAATGATATAATAATAATAATAAAACATAATTCAAAAATACTTTGCTTAATATCTTGAATTTTGTTTTTAACGTTTGCAATTTAACAGTTTGTTTTGTATATTTTATGATTCTTCGAGGTAATTTAAATTATATATACTTCCCCGGAAATGAGTCATATTAATACCTGTTTTATAAACTAAAATAATATATACCTAATCTGTAATAAATATAATGAATAGTTGATGGGTTGTTTAGTAAAACTCATATATCACTAATAAAAAAAATTATTTTTATCTCCTTTATTTTCTTCGGAATTTGGACCATACCATAAAAAAAAATAGGAAATTCTAATATTGAATGCATTATTCTCTCTACACAAAGAGAGATGGAAAGGGTGAAGCTATAAGTTCTTCTAGGTAACCGGACCTGATTGTTACATAGGAAACAAATGCAAAGATATATTTCTCCACTTTTTCAATGCATATTGAATAATATGCCATTAGAAAATGATATGATAGCACTGTATTTTTGCCCCTTGACAAGAAAGGAGAAACTAGGAAATGTAATATCCATCGATACTCATTCCTGTTTGGTGTACCAAAGAAAATCTACTCCTGAATCGTAGAAGCTAGAATAAGAAATATTGCCGTTTTCCAGAACGATATGGATTGAAAAACTCAAGTTGCACATTGGAACAGAATTAGCACATCGGGACTGACTTCACTTTAAGGCAGGTTATAGAAAAGTCCATCAAGAAAGAAAAATACCTCTCTATTTGCTTAGTGCCTCACACTTTGGATGGTCCTAATATCTACTTGTCTTTCAAAAATGCTCGTTTTCCTTTCTGATTCCTTCAAAGATCTTTTGCAAATGCATTAAACAGAAGGGAAGCTATTTCCCTTTCTCGATAGACCTTTCTATAGCCTGCTTCAAAGTGAAGGTAGTCCTAATGTACACTAGCGGATCCAGGGGGTGTCCGAAAGTTTTTTTTTTCATAAAAATAACGATAATTACTTTGGGAAAAAAAAAAACTTGACTACCTATAAGAAATGGTGTTTAATTGATTCCTAAAATCCTTTTAAACGTAATTACACGAACAATAATACTTTAAGAGATAATTTTTTAATACTTTTTTCCATAAACATGGTTATATTTTACCATTTGGGGGGAGGAGGGGTGACTTCAGCCCCAAAGCCCCCTCCCCGTAGATTCTCCCGTGCTAATATGTAACTCAGTGTGTGTAGCAATCGAAAATAAAGTGATTTTTACCATATTAAACCTCCATCGCCCACTTGATACCACCCAAACTGCCCCAGCATTTGAACCCCTTTTAATAGCTCCTTGAAATATTCTGTTCATCAACTATGTATTTTATATTCTACTATGTATTCATTTAGCCGTATAATGGATAGGGATACTTGTTTTCTTTTCCGATATTTTGGAAATTCCTTCCTCGTTCGCTTACTGTATTTTTCCAATTTTTGGGTTGCATTTCGCATTTTTCCTCATTTGAGACCAAATACTAATAATTGCTTCGCCCTTTTCATCTTTCTTTGTGCAGATAGAATACTGGATTCAATATTAAAATTTTCTATTTTTTGTATGATATAGCCCAACTTCCTTTCGAAAAAAGAAAGGAAATAAAAAATATTTTTTTTATTAGTGATATATGAATTTTACTAAACAACCCATCAACTATTCATTATATTTAGTTATATATCAGGTATATATTTTAGTTTATAAAAAAAAGTATTAATATGACTCATTTCCGGGAATGGATATACAATTTAAATTACCTCTAAGAATCAGTAAATATACAAAACAAAGTGTTAAATTGCAAACTTTAAATAAAAAATTCAAGATATTCAGCGAAGTATTTTTGATTTAAGTTTTATTATTATAATTATGTCATTTTTACAACAGAGACCTTCTTAAACGACCTCCGTATAGAATAAAGGATATTAAATACGAAATACATAAATAAATTTTGAAAAAAAAAAATTTTTTTTTTTTAGACACTTAAATTATTGCATTAATATTTGTTCGTTATTACAATTAATATAATGTACCAAAAACGTTATTATAGCACTGTAACTAAGCCATTTATGAGCTATGATTGGTATAGTAGAGGCCTGTAGGCACCTACGCCAGTACCGCTTTTCTGCTGCTTAAGTGCATTTTCTACGGAACTGCTTTAAATATTTTAAAAAGTAATCAGTGTTTTAGAAAGAGAAATATATTCTCCAGATGTTTTATTTTGGTACGTTTTCCGTTATTGTTGGCCGTTTAATTACAAACGGCGCTTGATTTTCAACTTGAAAATGTTTTTGTTAAAAACATTGACTATACTGGTGTTTTTTATTGCCTAAGCCAATAATTTTTTCATGTTTTATTATTCTCAGACTACCCAGCTTTAATAAAAATCAAACTACGACGAAATTAAGCCTAATGCTGATTCTCAGTGACCAAAAAACTAACTACAGTCGAAGTCGTCAGTCCGCCATCTGTGGACGCCATTTTGGGGCAGTGCTTTCACTTTTTTTGTGGGAACATTGGCTTTTTTTGTTTTAATGAATAATTACAAGGAACACAACGATATGCAATTTATAGTGATGTGGGGAAGAAGGGTGCAAGGTAGGAGGACTGGCCCAGTGTGTACTACACTTCCACTGTAATTAGGAGTAGAGGTCAGTCAGTTCATAGGCATCAGGGGTTGCTGGACTAGTCCCCTCACACCTGTTTTAGCACTTTTAATCTTTCATGTTGGTTGTAATCTTGTTTTTTTTTCTCAGTCCTGTTAAAGGCCTAAAAGTTTTGCCGAAAATACAGCACACTATCCAATAAAACATTTGTGCTTCTTATTTGAGTGTGATTTCATCTCTGACCCCACTCCAGACCAACTTTTTATTAAATTAAATTGCAATTTGTAAGTGTTGTGAACACCATTGTCCGAATTAACTCTTCCTCAAGAATGCCTCGTACTTGCTCGAGAAATAATCTTCTATATTCCATAGATTTCACATAACATTCTTTGAAAAATTCACAAACTTACATAAGAACTCTGAACTAGACCTATATTTTAAAAATTCCAATTTTTCTTTATTATGAACCCAATTGCCAAGCAAGCCCACAACGTTTTGTTAATCATACCTAGGACCTGTTTTGGGAGTTGTTTTCTTTAATTCATCAGATTTATCAAAATTATACTTTGGCCAGCAGCTAAAGAACTAAATGTATGAAAAATTGTAGTCAAATGGCAATTGAAAACTGTTGCGATAACCATGTCCTATCAAAACTTTGTAACTCATACCTGATATTTGCTTGGGGAGGATCTGTTTTTAATTCTTTTGGTTCCAAGGGTATATTCACAGAGCTGCAATGAATTATACGATAAATAATTTTATTTCATTGGCAATCTTAAACTTTTGTGAATCCCTAGCCTATCAGATCACCTCCTTATGAATCATACCTGACATTTGCTAGTGGAGGACATATTTCTAATTCTTTTGGTTCCACAAAAGTATCCACAGAACTGCAATTAAATAATTATTATATAAAAAATAGGTAAACAAACGACAATTTTCAACTATTCTGAACTCTTTATATCATTCCAACCTAGACCAACCAAGAAAATCATACCTGAAACTTTCTACGGAAGGACAAATTATTTTTGGTTCCACACAAATACTTTCAGACCTGTAAATGAATGACTGTTTATATTAAATTTAGAAATAAAACCTAAATTTCCAAGGTTAGTGGTCCCCCTAACGTATAAAACCATTATCAACTCATTATAAACCATACCTCGGACTTATTTTAGGAGGACTTGTTCTTAATTCCTTCGGTTTCAAAACAATGTTCCTTGATCTGCAACTAAAGAACTTTTTATGTGTATATATATCATTTATAAAAAAACCCTTTTGCCAATCGAACCCGCATCAACTCTTTGTAATTCATACCTGGAATTTGTTCGAGAAGGAAATTTCCTGAACTCTATAGTTTTCTCAGAATCACTAACCCTGCAAACATATATCTATGTATATTTATAAACACATACACACACACACACACACACACACACATTATATATATATATATATATATATATATATATATATATATATATATATATATATATATATAAAACCGCCATTTTCAAATGTTGTGACCTCTTCCTCAGTACATGACTTATAATCATACCTGATATTTGGAGTAGGTTGTACAGAAATATCCTCTAATCTGCAAGTAAAACAATATGTATTTAAACAACTGTAATCCTTGTTTTCAACTGCTTTGAATCCCCTTCCTCCATGGTCTACCAAAATCAAATCAAATGATTATGAATCATACCTGGAACATGTTGTATGAGATGATTTCGTAAATTCTTTAATTTCCTCAACACTATCCCTTGGCCTGCAAGTAAAGGACTATTGAATTAACTGTGAAATGGTATGACAATGAAGTGGATATTTTCATCTGTTAGAAACCTCCTAGTTATCAAACCCTTATCAAAAGATTGTGAATCATACCTGTAACCTCTTTTGGGCAATGTTTCTTTTATTTTTTTAATTTCCTCAAAACTATCGCATGGCCTGTAAGTAAAGTACCATTTTTATAAGAAATGGTAACGAAATTGCAATTTTCATATATTCTGAACCCCATTGTTTACCCAACCCACTTCAAATGATTTTGGATCATACCTGGAACTTCTTTTTGGAGGTGGTTGACATACTTTTTTAATTTTCTCAATACTATCCCTTGGCCTGCAATTAAAAACCTTTGTATATGAGAAATGATAATTAAAGGAAAAGTGGATCTGTTGTGAACCCCATTGGCTACCCATGCTCATATATCAAGTGAATCATACCTTCTTTTGGGAGATGGTTTCTTAATTTGTTTCACAAAAATATCCCTGAACCTGCAATTTATAAATGATATAATTCGACAAATGTAATCAAAAGGCAATGTCCGATTGCCGTGAACTCTCTCACCTCCAAAATTCACATCAGTTCTATGTAAATCATACCTTAAACTTGTTTCGGAAGGACATTTTTCTGATTTTTTAGGTTTCTTAATAGTTTCCCTTGATCTGCAATTATAGAACTATATATGTAAAAATTGTAATAAAACATCAAATTCAAACTGTTGTGTACCCCTTTACCTACTAAACCCATATCAACTCACTATAAATCATATCTGGGGCTAGTTTTGGAGAATGGTTTGTTTAGTTCATTAATTTTGTCAAAATTATCTTTTGACTTGCAAATAAATAACTTTATTTGAGGTGGTTAGAATTGTAATATAATAATACACGGGAGAGGTGAGTGGCCAAGTGAGCTAACGCGGGGAACTCCATGCTCGGGAACCTGATAAACCGAAGATTACGAGTTCGAATCCTGGTATCAGAAGAGCTTTTAACTCTAGTATTAATCCCCGCCCTCTCTCATGGCTTGGAAAAACCCGAAATGACAAGGAAAGAAAAAAGATATATCAGTTTTTGTTCAGAATTGTACTTCCCGAAAAATTGTCATCTCTTCCGCAACTGAAAAACTACATATGATTAAAATCTAATAGTCATTTTCAACCCCTTTTGTCAAAACAAAAAAACAAAAAAAAAACACCTCTTAACTCATACCTGCAACTTGATTTGAAAGGAGATTTCTTAGGTTCCACAAAACTATCCTCTGATCTGCAACTAAAGAACTAGATCTATAAAAAATTGTAATCTAAAGGCAATTTCAACAGTCATAATCTTATGGGAACTTTCAATATGCACGAATCCTTCTGCCAAAAAAAAAAAAAAAATATGAAATAACCCACATCAATGCATTATAAACATACCTGGAGTTTGTAATAGAACTAGATTTCTCATATTCCACAGAACTATCCTTTGATCTGCAACTAAAGAGCTATATATATAAACATTGTAATCAGAAGGACATTTTTGACTGCTTTGAAAATCTAAGTTTACCAAACTCATGTCAACTCTTTGCAAATCATACCTGGAACTACTTTGCGAAGAACAAATATTTACTTTCACAGTCTTAAGTTTCACAAAAAGATCCTTTGACCTGCAAGTAAACAACTATAATTATTAAGAATTTTGATCAATTGGAAATTTTCAACTGGTGTGAACTTCCTTGCCTAAACAGCCCATATCAACTTTTTCTAAATCATACCTGGAAATTGTTTTTGATAAACATTTCTTTAATTTATCAGGTTTCTTAAAAATATTCCTTGATCTGCAACTAAAGAGGTGCATATATTACAAAAATGTATTGAAATGATAATTTTAAGATTTCGTAACCCGCTAGCCAAAGAAACCCATGTCAACTCATTATGAATTATACCTGAATACTGATTTAGAAGGACATTTCTTTAATTTTTTAGGTTCCACAATACACTCTTTCGACCTGAAACTAGAGAACTATATTCATTAAAAATGGCAATTAAATTAAAAAATTGAACTGTTGTGACTTCCTAGCCTACTGGTCCCATATAAATTCATGGTTAATCATACCTTCTTACACTTGTTTTGGAAGGACATTTCTTTATTTTTTTAAGTTTGACTAAAATAACTTTTGGCCTGAAAATAAAAAACTAATTCACTGATTTCATAAAGAAATTTTATTAAGATGGCAATTTAAAACTGTCGAAACTCCCTTCTCTATCAAACCCATGACAACTAATAGATCATACCTTGAACATGTTTTGCGAGGTGCAGCATTAGTTTTCTCACTACTACCTCTTGGCCTGCAACTAAAGAACTTTATATGTCAGATCGTAATTAACTAGTAAAATGCATCTGTCATGAACTCCCTTGCCTATTAAAACCAAACCAAATGATTGTGAATCATACCTGGAACTCCTTCTGGTAGATGGTTTCTTTATTTTTTCACAACTATCCCTTGGCCTGTAACTAATCAACTTGATACATAAGATATAATGAAATGGCAGCTCACATCTACTATGAACCCCCTTGCCTACCAAACCCATACCTATCATTGTAAATCATACCTGGAACTCCTTCTGGTAGATGGTTTCTTTATTTTTTTTATTTTTTCACAACTATCCCTTGGCCTGTAACTAATCAACTTGATACATAAGATATAATGAAATGGCAGCTCACATCTACTATGAACCCGCTTGCCTACCAAACCCATACCTATCATTGTAAATCATACCTGGAACTTTTTTTAGCCGGTGATTTCTTTATTTTCTCACAACTATCCCTTGGCCTGCAACTAAATAACTCAAAATAGAAGAAATGGTAAAAGATTAATTAGCATCTGTTGTAAAGCCCCTTGCCCAACGAACACATGCCAATGATTTTAAATCATACCTAGAACTTCTTTTGGAAGATGGTTTCTTTACTTTTTTAATTTTCTCACAACTATCCCTTGATCTGAAATTGAAAAACTTAATATATGAGAAATGATAATGAAATTGCAATTTGAATCTGTAGCCAAGCCACTTGTTTATCAAACCCAAATCAAATTATTGTGAATCATACCTAGGGCGCCTTTTGGGAGATGGTATCTTTACTTTTTTAATTTTTTCACAACTATCCATTTTCCTGCAACGAAGAACTCGATATATGAGAAATATTAAAATAATGGCAATATGCAATTGTTGTGAACCCCCTTGCTTATCAAACCCAAATCAAGTGATTGTAAATCATACCTAGATCGTCTTTTGGGAGATGGTTTCTTTACTTTTTTAATTTTCTTACAACTATCCCTTGACCTGCAACGAAGAACTCGATATATGATAAATATTAAAATAATGGCAATATGCATTTGTTGTGAACCCCCTTGCTTATCAAACCCAAATCAAGTGATTGTAAATCATACCTAGATCGTCTTTTGGGAGATGGTTTCTTTACTTTTTTAATTTTCTCACAACTATCCCTTGACCTGCAACTCAAGAACTCAATAAATAAGTAATTATAAAATCATGGATGACAATGTGCATTTGTTATAAACCCCATTTCCTATCAAATCCAAATCAAATGATTATAAAACATACCTAGAACTTCTTCTGGGAGATTGTTTCTTTTTTTTTTTAATTTTTTCACAACTATCTCTTGGTCTGCAACTAAATAATCCAATATATAAGAATTAGTAAAAAAATGGCAATGTGCATCTGCTATAACCCTCCATCGCCTATCAAACCCAAATCACATGATTGTAAATCATACCTGGAACTTCTTTTGGGGGATGGTTTCTTTTTTTTTTTAATTTTCTCACAACTAACCACTGGTCTGCAACTGAACAACTTAATATATAAATAATTGTATAATCCTAAAAGAGAATTTTTATTTGTTGTTAACCCCCTGCTTATCAAACCCATACCAATTATCATCATACCTGGAACTTGTTTCAGGAGATATTTTTTTAATTTTCTCACAACTATCCCTTGACCTGTAACTCAAGAACTTGGTATATAAGAAACATTAAAATAAATACAATTTGAATTTGTTACGAATCCCTTTGCTTATTAAACACAAATCAAATGATAGGGAATCATACCTAGAACGTCTTTTGGGAGAGAGTTTCTTTACTTTTTCAATTTTCTCACAACTATCATCACGCCTGCAATTAAGAACTTGATATATGTTAAATATTAAAAAAAATGGCAATTTGCTGTTTTATGAATCCCTCTTGCCTATCAATGATGCCTATCAAAGCAAACGATTTTGAATCATACCTGGAACGTCTTTTAGGTGATTGTTTCTTTACTTTTTCAACTTTCTCACAACTATCACTAGGCCTGTAACTCAACAACTTAATATATAAGTAATAGTAAAATCATGGATGCCAATTTGCATCTGTTGTGAATCCCTTTTATTATTTAACCCAAATCAAGTGAATCATACCTTCGTCTTCTTTTGGGAGATGGTGTCTTTACTTTTTTTATTTTATCACAACTATCTGTTGGCCTGTAATTAAGAACTCAATATATGAGAAATATTAAAAGAATGACAATTTTCATTTGTTATGAACTCCCTGCTCTACCAAACCCTCATCAAATGATTGCAAATCTTACCTGGGACTTCTTTTGTAAAATGGTTTTTCAATTTTTTTTATTTTCTTGCAATCCTTCGGCCTGGAACTAAAGAACTCAATGTATGAGAAATGATAAAAGAATGGCAATCTGCATCTATTGTGAACCCCCTTCTCTAACCACTCATAACTAATGATTGTGAATCATACCTGGAGCTTCTTTTGGTTGGTAGTTTCATTACTTTTTTAATTTTCTTACAACTATCCCTTGACCTGCAACTCAAGGACTTAATATATAAGTAATGGTAAAATCATGGAAAGTTATTTGCATCTGCTGTAAACCCTTTTGCCTATCAAATCTATATCAAATGACGGTGAATCATACCTGGAACGTGTTTTGGAAGTTGGTCTCTTTTTTTTTTTAATTTTCTCACAACTGTCCCTTCGCCTGCAATTAGGGAACTATTATATGAAAACAATTCAACAAAGACAATGTTAAACTTTTGGTAAGCCCTTTGTCTATTTTACCCACATCTAGTCTTTATAAACCAAACCTAGACTAGTTTGGGAAGTAATATTTTTTAGTTTTTTTAAATTTAAGAAAAATATTCTTTGAACTGGAAGTACAAAATTGTAGTCAAATGGAAATTTGCAACTAACATGAGCTCCTATACTTTCAAGACCCATAATAAATTTTTGTAAATCATACCTGGAACCTGTTTGGAAAAAATATTTCTTTTTTTTTTTTGTTTTCGGAAAATCTGTTGACCTGCAACTAAGGAACCATATGATATTAAAAATTTATGTTAAATGACATTTTAACTCAAAGTGAATCCCCTCGGTTATAAATTCATATCAGCTCTGTGAATATCCTACCTGGAACTAGTTTTTGAAGGACATTTTCCAAATGATTTTTTTTCCTCAAAATTATCCACTGATCTGCAACTGAAGAGCTAATATATAACAAAATTGCTATCTAATAGCAATTTCAAATATCTTACACCCTCTTGCCTATTAATTCCTTATCGACTTTTTATAATTCGTACCTGAAGCTTGATTTAGAAGTAAATATCTGTATTTCATTCATTTTCCCCAAATTATCACTTGACCTGTAACTAATGAACTGTATACGTTAAAAGTCACCTACAAATCCTGTATCTAATTTTTGTTTATTGTACCTGTAACATTCTGAAGGAAGAGATTTCCTTAACTTATTGTTTTTTGCAAAACATTCTCGTGATCTGTAAGTAAAGAACTATTCTTGAGAAGAAACTTTAAACCAAATGGAAACTTTCAACAGTTGTTGAAATTGTCATTTTTAAGATTTTAAATAAGAAATAAATCACATTTTTCATAGATGCCCTTACCTGTTTCGTTTCTTTTCTTTCAATGACTTATGTGGAGCGGCCCTGAAAAATTTTTGTAAGAATTAAAAAGAAATAATTGTTTTGCCTGGAAAAAAAAAATTAGAATATAATTGTATTGCCAAAATGTTATGTCCAAATGTTTATGTATGTTATTTTTTTTTTGGAATTTTTATATAAATGAATCTTGTGATATATTTGCAAAATTCTTATAATTTTATATCTTCATTCTTACATAACTTATATTTTGATTTGATTATCGATAAAAAAATAAAATAAATAAAATTTCACATTGAGAAGATAAAATATAATTTGAAATGAATTTTCTTTTGGTTGTTAAATTTGAAAAGCTGGAAAATACATACAGAGTGTCTCATAAGTAGAGGGAAATTTTTATATGGGTGATAGTAGACCACAAGATCTACAAAAAAATTTACATAAATAATGGCCCAATTCCCAACAGAAAAGTAGGAAATTCAAGATTTGTGATTTTTTAAGTGAGTCACATTTTTTGTTGAGTATAAAGCAATAATTACAAGAATATTTAATTTATGCAATTAACAATTGCTCCACAGTAAACTAGATAAAATTTACTTCTAATGAAAGTAGTGTTTGTCATTGAACCCATTTGAAGAGGGATATGAGTGGCTGAATTCAGATAAGTTATGATTAAAATTATTCTCGATTTTTTTAATCTCGCTCAAACTATACTACGGATACTCCACTCTAAATAAACGTTAAATCCATATTAATTATGTTGAGGTTTATTAGGGAAAATTTTGAGATTCACTTCATTTTGAATAAAAGAAATATGATATCCTGTTACCTAAAAGCACTAGTGGATCCTGGATTTAATTTTGGGGGGAGGAGAGCTTCAGCCCAAAAGCTTTTATATATATATATATATATATATATATAACAATAATTAATTTGAAAAAAAAAGAAAGAAATCAACTAACTATATGAAATGGTGTTTAAATGATTCTTGAAGTCCTATTACAATAATTGCACTTGAATTACATGAACAATAATACTTTAACAGATAGTTTATTATATTTTTTTCTATAGAACATCTATATTTTACCATTTTTTGGGAAGGTAGAAGGGCCTTCAGCCTGAAAACCCTTCCCGTAGATCCGCCTGTGCCTAAAATTAACCATATTTTCAGCAAAAATGACTACAATAAATGATTGAAAAGTTTTAATTTCTTTCTTTTCCATGAACTGCTATGTAATATAATAAATATAAATGCATAAGTACACTTTTTATTTATTTTAAAAAAATGTTAAAAATAGTGTTATATAATGTTAAAATAGTGTTATAATGTTAAAAACAGAACATCTTGGAGCGATGGGCTTCTTACTTCAAAAAGATACTCCAAAAAGAAGATGTGGAGAAAGGTGCAAAAAAGGTAGAGAAGAGGACATGCAGGATGATACAATTCATGAGCCACCTAATGAAGACGAGGTTGGCGCATACATTCCAAAATTGAAGAATAACAAGGCGCCAGGACAGGATGATATTCAAGCAGAGCTACTGCAGTATGGTGGACCTGACTTCAACATGGATTTCCACAATCTTGTCCTTTCTATTTGGCAAGCAGAAAGAATGCCTGAGGAGTGGACAAAGGGTATTATCTTTCCACTCCACAAGAAGAGAGATCAGCTGGAGTGTATTAACTACCGGGGTATTGTTCTCCCCTCATCTACTTATAAGGTATTCTTAAATATCCTTTTGGAGAGATTGGTTACCCACGCGAAAAGAGAGATCGGGAAGTATCAGGCAGGATTTAAAAGAGGAAGATCCACAATGAACCAAATATTTATATTGAGACCTATGTTGGAAAAATGCAAAGAGTATAATATCGTTACTCATCAACTCTGTCGATTTCAAATCTGCATAAGACAGCGTTGCGCGACCGGAACTTTACAAGGACCTAGAAAAAAATAATTCTGATAAGTTTTAGGGTTTTTTTTATTGCTTGAGTCAATCTCTAATTTTATTTTATTGTATCCAATAGCTATCCCCAGTGCAATGCATGTTCAGTAGACTATTACTTTATTGCTTTGTCAAATTTATTAAAAGTAGTTTTTTTAAAGTGCTTTCGGCTTTTATTATATTTAATTTCAATAACGAAGCAAAAATATCTTGAGCAGTAAAGATACAGTCTTCTAGTATTAAAACTAACGCGAGAGTGTTTGTCAGGAAGGATATAATTTTATTTAAAGTGAAGGAGTAAATACAACAATACTTATTTACTTACTCTCCAGAGCCACATTTGCATTCAGGACAGCAAGCTGAGGAACGTTTCCTGAAAACCAATCAAGCCATCATTAAAAGTTCAAATCAGCGACGGTCCACTGTTAATGAGCAATTTAAATTTACTTAAACTTAATTAATCTGTATACTGATTCATATTAATCATTAGAAATCTCTAAACAGATGAACCTTAAAGTGGTAAGATAGATCTATTAATAAAAATTTCAGATGAAATTTTCGATTACCTTCTTCAAATACACGACTAAAGATTCTTATACCGATGCTATACAAGATAGTACAATAAACCAGCTCTGAATCAGAGAATCATCCAAAAGCCTGCTCCATACTTTTCTATTTCGAGTAGCAGCCATCCAATCAAGATTTTTCACGTCTGTAGGAATACTGTAAAGCCATCCGAGGATATGCCTCTCCGCTATTCCTGTTCAATGAAAGATGCAGCCAATTTTTCCGGGATTTCTCTGTGATTAGTTTCCGCTATCTATATGACTTGTCTATCTGCCCGTCTTCCCGAATTTTTCAGTATCCGTATTCTCGAAAAAGTTATAGATTTATTTTTCATCAATTATTGCAATAATATCATAATTTATTAGGCATGTATTTTTATTTTATTTTACCAGGTCATCTCAAAAGTAATGTTCGGTATTTAATTGCGTGATATAAGGATTTGGATAAAATCAATGAAAAACATTGAATTCAAAACATATTTACCATCTTGTTCTATAACAGTTTGCCATCTTGAAACCAAATTTAGTGTACCTTTTCAGAAAAACCCTTTGGTTTTGAATTAAAGAAAGCCAACACTTCGTTTTTCACTTCACCGACTGAATTGTTGTCCCAGTTGCTCAATCAGTTACTATCCTGTTTAGATAAGGTTCTTGATCTAAACGGAAGAGGAGAGAAAAGCAAGTGTTCCCCTGCTGTTGCAAACTAGCGAAACATAACTCGTGAAGGACCCACTATCTCGATTTCACTACCTTTCCTGCTAGCTAAAAATGGTGTTGGACTGTAGAATGTGTCTATTCAAGGTTTTCTGCTAATTCTTCAACTTTTACAACAGGATTTTCTTCAACAGTAGAATGCAGGAGTTCGTCGGCAAGCTCCATTAGTCGACCTGTCCGAGACTTCAAGTTTGCGGTTACCCATTCGAAACTTTTCGAACCACTTACCGTCCACTGATGAGGTTTTATGCATATATTTATGCAAGTTTCCGATAAGTTGAAGCAGCATTTTCTCCTTTATCGAATTCACGAAGCAAAACATGGCGTAAGTGGTTTTTGGGAATATCCATTTTAATTGCGATTACAGCACAGAATAACTAACTTTCTCCAACAAAAACATGATAAATAGAAGAGTATGTAATGCTATGATAAACAAAATATGTAAAAAATATTTAATTGTAAAGGAGGGATTACCGGATTTTTAAAAAGCGACATTAATTATGGGATGACATGGTACATGTCTCTATTTTAGAAACGGCTCGTTTGATTTGGACCAAAGTAGAGGAAATCTGAATATTTAAAAAAAATATGATGTATCAATTTTTTCGAATTCCATCCTCTAAATCCTCTAAAACATGTGTAAAAGTATATCCCCTCTCTTCTGTCTCCTTGCCTAATTACAACCTCTTCCGTCATGACCGGGTAAGCCGGAATGGCGGTGGAGTAGCCATATTTGTCCACAATAGCCTGAAGACCCGAATCCTCGATTTATCCCCATCTTCCAACCACCCACAAATTGAATACCTATTAGTTGAAATCATTTGTAATACTTCTCCTTTCGTCTACGCTGTGGTATACCGTCCTCCTCTTGTTCCATTTCACACGTCCTTTGAATCTAGCCTATTGAATTTCGTTCCCCTCTATCCCAGAATAATCATCTCAGGTGACCTCAATACCAATTTCCTATCTAACTCCAATGAAAAATCCTATCTAGAAGACCTATTCTTCTCCCTTCACCTCTTTATCGTTTCTTTTTCTCCCACTCACCATATTAGCAGGTCCGACACTTGGCTAGATTTCTATATTATAGACTCTGCACAAAACCTCCTCTCCTCTTCCCAACTGCCAGTATCCTTTTTGTCATTTCATGATCTGATACAAATAATATATAATATCCGAACTCATATTCAGTCTCGAACTATCACCTTCCGCCATCTAGATTCCCTTACACGAGAACAAATATTACCTGACCTGGAAATCCTAGATTGGAATAAAATATATTCTTGCACTTCTATCGACTCTATGGTTGATATTCTTACTACCAATCTCCTAAATATCCTCAATACCCGTGCCCCTCTCAAAACCTCTACATTTCGTCACCGGCCTGCTCCTTGGATGTGTCAGGAAATTAAAGACCTGTAGAAGAGGCGCGACGCTGCTCGTAGACGCTTCAGACGTACTAGACTTGCAGATGACTACCAAGCGTTCAGGGTGCTTCGCAACTTGACACAAACAAGGATCCGGCGTGCGAAATCCCTCTACTTCCATGAAGCCCTTTCCTCAACTCCTGACATAAAATCAAAATGGCGACTGCTTCGTAAACTCTCCCTTTGTGATCCTTCCAGATCCCCTACAACAGCCTTTCCAATATCCCCTGATGATCTAAACTCGCATTTTATATCTGTTGCTAATACCTCTCCTTTATCCTCCTGTTCCGGCTTTCCTATAGAGATACCATTTAACGACAATAACTTTTATTTTTCCGACATTTCTCCCACAGACCTTTTAACCGCTGTAATGAAATCCCACACCAATTCCATAGGACCCGATGGCATCCCTGTCAAATTAATAAAATTATGTCTTCCTGAAATCCTCCCAGTTCTTCTTTTCATCTACAATTTCTGCCTTCAGAATTCAGTATTCCCTACATCTTGGAAAAAAGCCATTGTCCTTCCTTTGAATAAAAATTCTAATCCGACCTCACCCGAAGAATTTCGCCCAATCTCAATTCTTTCCAACCTCTCAAAACCCCTAGAAAGATTGGTGCAATCCCAAACCTCCAACTTCCTTGAAAAGTCCAACTAACCTGATCCTCTCCAATCTTGTTTCCGTCCCAGCTACTCCACACAATCCGCCTTAATTAAAATCACCAGCGACATTCAAACTGCAATAGATGATAAAAAGTTAACTATCCTTATCCTTCTCGATTTCTCCAAAGCCTTCGATTCCATCAACCATTCCATCCTTTTCAACAAACTGAAGTTATTATCCTTCTCCAATAGTTCCATCTCTTGGTTTCAATCTTTTCTCTCACAACGTACCCAAGCAGTTTCCATACCCAACCAACCACTATCTGCTTTCTTTTCTTTATCCTCTGGAGTTGCCCAGGGTTCAAGCATATCTCCTATCCTTTTCAGCTCCTACATTAACGACCTACCTAAATCAATTCTCAATTGTTCCCATCACCTTTATGCAGACGATTCACAGATGTACCTATCATTTTTCCCTCCTGAGTTACTGGGGGTATTTGCCAAGATCCAAGAAGACCTAGATTGAATCAGCGCCTGGGCAAATGTAAATGGATTAAGGTTAAATGCTGTCAAAACTCAGGCCATTGTCATTGGCTCCAGGTCCCTTATTAGATCCTATACAGACTTTCCCATCCTTCACCTTAATGATCAGTCAATCTCCTTCTACTCCTCTGTTAAAAATTTAGGATTTTTAATTGATCAGAACCTCTTTTTGAATCATCATATTTCTCATATCTCTCGACGGACAATTTCCACCCTCAAACTATTCCATCGCTTCCGCCATCACCTACCTCAAAATACGCGTAGACTCCTAGTTTCCTCTCTCATTTTCCCCCACTTTGACTATAGCTGTGTGGTGTATGATGGCCTCTCTGTGGAGCTCCGTGATAGACTGAAAAGACTAATGAACAGCTGCGTAAGATTTGTGATCGGGGCCCCAAGATACTCCCACTACGCTGAGTTAAAGTGGCTTTTCCCCTCCTTCCGAAGACAATATTTCCTAGGTACGTTCCTCTACCAAACCATCAAAAACCATCGTCCTTCTTACGCCTACAACCTTCTCCAGTTCAAATCCTCAGTCCATTCTCTGTCCACAAAATCTCGACCTTCTAACCTTTACATGCCTTCTCACAGATCTGCCTCATTCCAAAATTTCTTTATTGTTCGCTCCGTAAATTTCTGGAATTCCCTCCCTATCAAAATTCGACATTCCCCATCCATATCCACATTTAAAACCCTCCTATTCCAATTCCTATCCCAAAACAGTCAGATAGTTGCTAACCATTCAAGCTGATTTTAAAAGAGAATTTGATACATTTTTATTTTTTAATTCTTTATTATTTTCTTAAAAGTGTATACTGGTCTATAAATGCAAATAGTATTAAGTGTCATAGTATTAATGGTTTTGTATATAGTTTAGTTTGTTTTGTATATAGAATTTTTACCTTATATTTTTTTTACATTATTTCTTTTTTTCGATTGATTTTATTTTGGCCAGATGTAATATTTTAATTTTGTTATTCTCAAGGGACTGTGTCTCAGAATAAAGTTATTTTTCTATTCTATTCTATTCTAAAAGTATTTTCTTTGATAAATAAAAAAACGCACGCTCAAATTGGCCTAAATTAAAGATTAGCAAACAAATAATTATGGAAGTACCAATTTTATCAAATTCCATCGACTAATTTAAAAAAATACTTCCGTTTTGTAATGTGCTTAGAGATACGCCTATATTTCGAAAACGGCTAGTTGGTGACTATGAGGTGGTTGATGACTAATGAATGAAACAATCAAAGCACTAATCACAATTAATAATAACAGCTTACTCACAATTAATAATAACAGCTTACTCACTTGACCTGAACAACCTTTTTTTTGCAATCAAGCCCATCGCCAATAGGTAATTTAAAACCCGAATCGAACTAAAAAAAAAAAAGAAATTACAAATGTGTATATGTTTTTATATAATTTAAATTATTTAAAATAAATTTGACACTATATATATATACTAATTAATCAATCATGAGATTAATTTTGAGGTTAAAAACTCAAAATTATCAGGATATTATTGGGAGATTTTAAAACAAACCTGTGAGTCTCTCTAATAAGTACCAGTGAATAACTAACTAATCCATGTTTCATTTGTTCATGATTGGGGAAGCTTGGAGAGTAGTTTATATTTGCTTTGAAAATATTTTTAGTTCATTTTAAAATGGCCAACAATTTCACTGCTTAAGTTTTTAAGTTACATTCTTATTTTTATTCTAAAAGAAAAAATCAGTCACAATGGCGGAAACAGATAATTGTCAATTAAGAGCCGAGAATTTTTTTTTTTTTATCTGATTTAGAAAAAAAATTATATTTAATTTGAATATAAGGTTTTTCTGAGGTGCGAAAAATGAATATCAGTGGGTATTCAAATTCATTAGTCCATGAAAATAACTTATGACTTTTTTAGAAAATTCATATTTAAAAAAGGACAATGTATCCATAACTTAAATTTCTTCAGTATGTAGTACAGTGATAGGACAACATATGAAAAAAGTTGAGTTTTTCATTTTTAGAACAAAATATCGTCATAATTTTAGTTTTTGTTTTGGTATCTTCAAAAATAGCCCGTATGAATAAGTAGGACATGCTGTTATCCACATCCATTAGGGGGTAATATTTGTTACATTCTAAGTAATATAACCAGTTGAGTCTTAATGACCTAATTCTTATTAAATTATCATCATAAAGGGATAAACAGTGTCAATTTCATAATTTTTTACTCAGTCCCTTTTGTGACATTCAACATAAAACATTGCCGAAAACGACTTTTCACCATTTTTGAAACTCCATTCTTCAAAAAGAAGGAGGTTTCAAATATTGAAATTGGTTCAGCATATTCTAAATTGATAGTGCTATCAAAGAAAAACAAAATCAGAAGTCTCTTTTTATTAGGACATTTCTAAAGCGCCAAAAGTTTACGTTAATTTTCATGATATCTTTTGAACGACTTTCGTTCTTTCTCAGATGATGCATCAATAGACAAAATAATAATCAATATTATCTCACTTTTTATTTAGGTTTGATATCTACAAAATGACTAGAGCTACCGACATTTTCCCAGAACATGAATTCAGTGAAAAAGTAAATTCACAATAGCCACTGAAATAAAGCAAGATCCTTAAAAATGTTTTAACTATGGTTTTGAACTCTCCACTAAGTAGGAAATAACTGGTAAAAAAAGTAATAAAAATAAAAAATGAAGGACAACAAAATAAATTCAAATTGGTTGATTTCGAATGGATGAACCCAACTTTGTCAGGACCACTGTCACAGAAGATCAGAGGAGGGGGGAAATCCCACGGGCTTATGGCTGGGATTTATTAAAAATAAAATATAAACATGATTCTGAAAAAAATATTGACAGCGACAGATTGGTTGATAGTTGTTGTGGGTGGGGTGGCCGAATGGGCTAAAGCGTGTGCACTGCACCGCCGTTGTCTGGCAACCTGACATATATGAATCAAAGATTTAAAAATAGTCACGAGTTCGGGGGAGTCTTTTAAATCCCCGCCCACACTCCCTGGCCCCGGAAAATCCCGTATAGCCTTAAAGGCGAGGAAGGGAAGGAGCCCTCCCCCCAAAAAAAGATTGTTTGTTATTATTTAAAATAAAGAAATTACGAAAAAATTATTCTCTTTTCATGAAAGAAATGGCACATTTATCCCCTTCCTTTTAGAACAATTTCTTTTCAAGCTGGCTACTGTTGTACCAAATAAACCATGCTTTATTATAAAATGTCTTTCTGCATTGAACTCATTATTTGTAAACACCAATGGAGTTCTAAATGACCATTTGTGATAAGATACATTGAAGCATACCTTTAAGGCTGAAGAGCCTCCATTTCTGTCTGTGAATCTTTAGGTGCGAACTAACAAAGATTTTAAGATGTGAAAAATACTATACGGAAGAATATGAGTTTCTCGAAATCGAAAGGGATTTCTTTGAGTTTGGAATAGATACCTAGAGGCAGTAAGGCCCAATCAACTACTGAGAGAAATAGGGTCAATGGCCTCTCAGAAAAAAATTTCCCCCAAATGGTGATAAGAATAAAAATAATTAGTATGTATTATCAACTTCATATGATGTCAAAACTCATGATGCCAAAGGGAAAGGAAGAGGGATACAATAAATATACAAATAAAATAAATATTGGTTAAGGTATTGTGAATAAGAAACTTAATTCTATATTATAATAAAAGTTATTTTACATGAAATACAACACTTTTTTTAAGCTTTGAGAAAAATTAATTCTTCTTCCTTGGGTAGATATTTTATTACTTATATTTTCTGCTTACATATTCAACGATTCAGGGTTCTACCCAATCTTCAGGAATATTTTTTTCCCTAAATATTATCATATATGTATCATCTATAATTTATTATATTGTCATATTTCCCATTTTTTTACATCTGTTCTATTTATGAACATCATCTTACATGTATTGTTACCCAATTCGTAACAATGCAAATAAGATTAGAATGTCAATGGTTAGAGTCATTCATTATCAGTCAAAGAGAAATGAATTCAAGCTAATTTTAGTGTGGGACAACTCCTGAAAAACTTATGTCTTTTCTAGTGCTTCCTATGTTCTTTCAAACTTCTAATAACAGATTGAAAACTAATAAGCTAATTAAAAGAAGAAAATAAATAATCTTTAAATTTTTATAATCAGTTATTCTAATGATCCACACCATATATAGATTGCAACATTCAGTGATATAAACCACACCAATATTAAATAAATAAAATAATGATTTAAGGCTCTACATTAAATAACATGGTTTATGTTTAACATTTAATTAATTTTATTCACCTCAGCCAATTTTAAAATAACTGGAATTCCATTGATCATAGTGTGCATATGAATGGAATTAGCATAGATACACTTTTTGCCAACTCCTCCTGCACACAAATTCCTGAAATCATAAAGTTCTTAATTGCTTTTCTGAGAAAATGAAGTTGGTGTTCAATTTTACTGATCATATTATTAAGATAATAATTTACTAAAAGTCTTGTTGATTTTTATTACTTACTTGTTTAAGATAGTTCATCTCCTCAGTTACTTGCATAACTGAATACAGTTGATAAATAATACTTGTAAATCACACTTTATAAAATTAATGTTTTTTTAATACTGAACCAATAAGTTTTCATATGTAACTATTTATATTCATTTACCCTCTTTGTAGTAATCCTAACATTGCAGAAGGTGAAGATAGTTTCTTATTTTGTAATGAATGAATACATTTGAAGCTTTACATAAGTCACTAAAATTTCTATTGAAATGGTTCTCATGTTTAAATATGAAAAATATAGATATTTCAGAACTTTTATGAACAATAATGCAGCAATAAAGGTCCTAATTTTCTGGTAACAATTTCAGTGCATTCCTGTTGTTCAAAAAAATAATTTGGAAAAACTCACTTGCTTATGCCCAAAAATTATTTGCTTTTATTGGGCTAGTGTTTGCTCAGTACATCATTCATTCATGTATATTTTAGAAACTTTTAACTACTTGCATAAAGTTAAACTTGTTGCATCTAGTTTATTTCAATAATGGATCCAATAATACTTTAAGTTATTTGTTTTATATATTGCACAGCACTGATTTCACTGTTCTTATATTATTAATGAAAGATAATGTTTTGTTTCTGAAATAATTTCAAACATAAAAATAAAAGTTAAAAAAGGTTTATGCCTACGTAATTGTTGTCATTACTTTTTTATTATCATTATTATCAGAAGGTAAAAATCTAGATTTTTCACATATTTTTAGTTTTCGGTATAAAAAACCTGGCATTTTAAATGAACTGTCCAACAAAATAATATTTGTTTTATAATTTTGAAAAATCAAGGCACTAATTAAAAAAATAAGATAAAACTATAAAGGTTTACAATTTATGTCTAGCACAAATTATATATTACTAAACACTGATTTTTTTAAAAAAGGGGTTACCATGTGAGCAATAACTAATAGAATGTTTCTGGAACTTATTACTATTTCCAGATGGCTGGTAAGGAAACTGAACAGGAGTGAAACCTATTTGATAACTAAAAGGGAATTTTAAATGAAAAAAATACATACCTTGAACGACTCATTAATTTTTAGTATATTAAGCATTGGTGTAACTTTTATAATGGAAAGCTTTCATGAACCAAAAATTTCATGGAATATTCATGTTTTAAAATAATGGATATACAAAGATTTAGAAGTTTTTTTATAAATAGGTTAGGAATTGTTTCTAATATTACCAGGTGTTAACTCTTGTTAAAATACTTCTGGCATGCTTAGATATTTCTTTTCTAAAATACAATTTTCCTAAATAAATATTAATTTTTCATGGTTAACCATATTTACATACTGGAACTTTTTGTAGTTTAAGTTGAAATGAATGTATAAATGAAATAAGTGAAAGTGTTGATAATTATGGGCTTGAAAGGTTTATCAACTTGATAAGTGACATTGAAAAATTTTAAAAATGGAACAGGAAAATATTATTTCTCCATCAGTTTCCACATTGCTTTTAAAGAGATGAATAGCATTTACATTACATACTATATTTTATTAACAAATGCCTGTAAGTGAATCAATTATTATATTTAAAGTTGATGTATTAAACAAACTTTTAATCTCAATATCTTTGATGTTTGATTAATAACTAGACTCTTATCAATCAAGTTTGGGTAATGGGCCTAGATCATTTTGGAATTCTTTAACAGATTTAACAGATGGTATACAGGATATCTTGCAAATGTATGGAACTAGACCAAACATTAATTCAAGTGTCCTTCCAGAAGTCGAAAATTCGATGACGTAAATATTGAATAAATTAATACAATAATTCTAAGCAGTTTAATAAGTTTTCTTAAATCATTTTTTTTCTTTTTTTAGTATATCAACTGGATTACCTGGAACGAGGTTTCAACCAATAGTTGATCAGAATATTGCAGACATTTGCATTCCTATGATGCAATGTAATAGAACTTCACGTTATCGGACAATCAATGGATCATGCAATAACCTTATGTTTCCGATGTGGGGTTTAACTGGTACTGCCCTTGTCAGATTGATTCCTGCTTTATATCAAGATGGTAAATGTCCTAAAAATGCTTGTTTATGTTTTTTTGTTCCTTATTTCGACTATACAAACAATCATTACAGGTTTACACCAACCGAGAATGTCAGTTACTGGAAGACCATTACCTAATGTTAGAGATTTAAGAAATGGATTATTGTACAACAAAAATACTCCAGATCATATAAATACTTTAATAGTTATGGAATGGGGCCAGATCATATCTCATGATACAACTCATATTTCTGTTTTACCAGGTACCCCATAAAATATATTTTAAAAAATCAAGTAATCTAATGAATGGCCTATAATTTTTATTTTTTATTTCATGATCAATTTTATTGAATCTTCTTGTTCATTTGAATTTTTTTCAGTTTATGCGAACAAATATTAAAAATTTGATGCATTTAATTATAAATATACGATTTTTAAAAATTTGAGTTTTAATGATACAGTCAATACACATACGATTGTTTATTATTGTTTTTTTTTTTTTTTTTTTTTTTTTGTTATGACTAAATATTTTTTCATTTTAATACAATCATAACATCTTTTTTTAAAAATCATGAAAAAAAAATTAATAAAATTTGGTCATGTATGATGTTTACAGTGATCTTAAATTTTCTGATTATGTTCTTAAAGATTTGTCAATATGCTTTTACCTTTATCAGTCTTTGTTTCTGTAAAATAGTGTATATATATTAATCTCGTCTTATTATGAATGATGATGATTAAAAATGGCAGTTAGCTGTAATACATATACTCTTCACCGCAGGCGGATCTATGGAGGGAGGAGGAGAGAGAAGCCTCTTCCCCCCAAATGGTAAAATTTAGCCATGTATTACGAAAAAAATGATCTTTAAAAGTATTATTGTTCATTTAATTACATTTAATTGGACTTCAAGAATATCTTAAACACCATTCTTTCTTTCCTTCCAAAGGAATCATTTTTATATGTAAATAAAAATAAAGCTTTTGGGTTAAAGCCACCCCCAAAATTAAAACCTTGATCTGTTAATGCTCTTCACATATTAGTAATGAATACATAATTACAAAATTTCAATCTAATACATTTTAATTAGTCTCATCTACATAGAATGAAGAAAAATTTAATCTTTTTTGAGATACTTATATCAAATGATATGATATTCACATCGATTTTTTTTTTTAGGTCATTTTGATGTGCTTAAATTAATGATATAAAATTTTTGAAAATTTGAGTTTTAATGATAATAGTCAGATTTTAGGCCATGTTGGCTGAGCATGATGAGACTTGTAGACATTTTCAACAATTTTTTTAATAATATTATAATTTTTAAAAATTGTGTTTACTTTTTGTAGTAAGTAGCTTAGGGGATCTCCAATGTTGTATTAACAACACATACCCTGCTATGGTAACAGAACTTCCAGCACAGTGTATGCCTATTCAAGTACCTGTGGATGATCCTTATTTTAGCAGGTTCAACCAAACATGTCTAAACTTCATTCGATCTGTTACAACAACTGACTATGGATGTAGCCTTGTACCACAGCAGCAGGTATTGTAATGAAGATTGTTTCGATATGAGATGTGATTGTTGATAAAATGGAATGTTTTATTTGCTTTTTGTGAATAAAATCTTATCTTTGTAATAAAACTTTGTAAATAAAATATCCTATGTATCTCTTCCCTTTGATTATAATTTAGATTTTACAGCAAGTTTTTTTTCTCTTGTTAAATAAATGTATTGCACCATTTCTCCTTTTGAATTAAAAAAAATCAAGCATAACTTTTTAAAAGCAATAATGATTGCCAATGTAGTTCTGAAACATTGGTCAAAATTTTATATTTTCTTTTAAAAAAAGTCGCTATTATTCATAATTATTATTATTTGTTAGTATTGCCTATCTTCTTAACTTTTATTATTTAGCACGATAATACTTGTAATAAATGTATGTTTTATTGTCAGCTAACTTGGTAATCATTGGTGACTGCTAAATTATTCTTGTAATCATTACACAACAAGATGATAATGTTATGATTTATTTATTGTTAGGATATAATTTCAAATTCTAGCATGAAACCTAGAGTCTCTAAAGTATAGGTAAACCTACCAAACTAAAGAAGTTAACATGTTCACTACTTGGCGAAGTTCCATTGAAGATACATTTTTATTGCCGGTTAAGTTAACTCAATTTGACACACTAGCTGATCCAGGATTTAATTTTGGTTGGGGGAGGGCTTCAGCCGGAAAGCTTTTTCTCATATTCATAACATTTTTTCATAAAAATAATGATAATTACTTTGGAGAAAAAGAAAGAAACTAACTATCGATATGAAATGGTGTTTAAGTGATTCCTAAAGTCATTTTAAATGTAATTACACGAACAACAATACTTTAAGAGATAATTTTTTAATATTATTTCCATAAAACATGGTTATATTTTACCATTTTGGGGAGACTTCAGCCCCAAAGCCCTCCCCCTATAGATCCGCCCATGATTTGACATAACAAACTGGCAGGCAAGATGTTAACTGTTTATTTACATTTTATATACTCAAAGCTTTGTGTCAGAATTTTTCAATTGTATCCTAACAATTAATTAATTTGAATTTCTTTTCTAAATTTTTCTTATTTATATATTTGAAAACTAATAGAGGTGTACTAAAAATTAATTATTGTAGATATGTGCATATGTATGAGTGGAGTAATTGACCTAGGTGTAGGTAATTTAAAATGAAAGAATTAGTTTTTTTATCTTAAATACATTGGAAATCAACTGTATCATAAATGCTGTAGTTGATATTGAACAGTTAATGGTAACATCAATGTGATTGGCTTGTTGATTAAATAACATTATGTTAATTAAAATAAACAAGTAATTTTTTTATCATAATTTAAAATATATGTGTGTGATAGGTTATAATTGCAAAAATTCCAAACCAACACAGTATGCGATTGGATATCATAAGAGTGATGTTCGATTAGCTGTTCTTTTCTGACCTGATGCCTGAATCGGCGAAACGTTGAAGGTTTTTTTTTCTTTGCCTGCATTTTGGAGATATATGTGGTTTGGGTGTGTGGTTTGGAATTTTTCCAATTATTACCTAACATTTATGTTCTATCACCCGATTAGTTTGTTACTAATTTATATTTTGTGAGTAATGTTCAAAATTGCCATTTCTTTTCAGTTAGCTATGGTAACACATTTTGTAGATGCTTCTTTTATCTATGGGTCTACTGATTACATTGCAAATCTAATAAGAAATGGAACAGGTGGTAAACTTGCTGTGCAGAGAACTCCAGATGGAAGGGAATTTCCTCCTAATGTGCCAAATGCTACTCATTACTGTGATGTGTCTATGGACAGTGAGACTTGTTATCTAGCAGGTTAGATAGACTTGTTATATAAAAGTTTTTTAATTAAAATTTAAATTCAGAATTTTATAAATATTTTTTTCTTGTAGGAGATTCACGGGTAAATCAAAACACAGATGTTTCCATAATTCATATTGTATTTTTACGGGAACATAACAAACTATGCACTGAACTTTTGGCTTTGAACCCTCATTGGGATGATGAGAGATTATATCAAGAAGCAAGAAGAATTGTAGTCGCAGCTGTTCAGAGGATAACTTACTCAGACTTCTTAATCGTTATGTTGGGTGTAGTATTAATTTTCAGAAAGGCAAAGTATTATTTGATAACTATAATATTATTTACTAAATTGATATTCTTTACAATAAATGAGATAGAACTAAAATTTTAAATCATATGTCATTTGTCCTATCCATAAAATGGGAGACATTCTGGAGTGCAGTAACTTTCATGGAATCTCACTTGTAGCCTCTTCATATAGAATCCTGTCTAGAATTCTGTTCCAAAGACTACTTCCTTTTGCTCAGCATTTAATTGGACCATACCAGGCTGGCTTTATAAAAGGAAAAACAACTATTGATCAGATATTTTCTTTAAGGGTACTGCTGGAAAACATCAGGGAATATGCTATACTGACCCATTACCTTTTCATATACTTTTATTGAGCCTACGGTATTGTGATACGAGAAGAACTGTACAAGGGCATGGTAGAGCTTGGTATTCCAAGGAAAATAGTTCGCCTTGTGAGAATGACTATGGAAAGGGTGGAAGGTATAGTGAGGATACAAGGAGATATATCCAAGTGCTTCATGACGCACTAAGGTCTCAGACAAGATGACTGCCTAGCTTGCCTCTTCTTTAATCTTGTCCTGGATATTACAGTGAGGAGATCTCATATACAAGTGGGAGGAAGTATATTAAATAGATCAATGCAGATACTGGGCTTTGCTGATGACCTAGATATCATAGGTAGGTCATTTGTAGCCATGAGAGATGCGCTCTTCGACCTTGAAAAAGCTGCAGCAAGGCTTGGTCTCACAATAAACCAAACCAAGACCAAGTATATAAAGGCGGGTGTGCAGGGTGAAACAAGGGCAAGCATTCGAATAGGAGAGTTTACCTTTGAATGGGTTGAAGAATTTGTCTACCTGGATACTCAGATAAACTCCAACAACCACATGAGGCCTGCAATTGACCGAAGAATAATGGCTTCCAATAGGTGCTATTCATTATATTCAGAGACACATAAAAAGCAAATTTCTTTCCCAAACAACAAAACTACACATGTACAAGACACTGATAAGACCAGTACTAACCTACAGTTCAGAATGCTGGACTATGTCGAAAACCATCGAAAACTTCGATATGAACTCCGAATCTTTCACAGAATATTTGGCCCAGTTTGTGCGAATCAAGAGTAGAGGCAGAGGACCAATGCAGAACTGCAGGAACTTTTCCAGGATAGTAACATGGTAAGGTTTATTAGGATTGGTCGACTTGGCTGGGCAGATCACATGGCTAGGATGCCTGATAGCCAAATTCCAAAGAAGCTCCTCACTAAATATCTATTTGGAAGACTCAAATTTCATAGGGCTGATGATGTGGTGGCTGATGCAATATCCAACCTTAATACAAGAGATTGGAAATTGAATGCTTTGAATAAAAATGACCGGCGACTGCTGTTAAAGGAGATCTTGACCCCATGTGGGTTATAGCGCCAAAGAAGAAGTTAGATAAACAATGTTAGCATTTGATATAAGGACTTACTTGTGGTACATGCTATATTCATGCTCGATAGTATACATATCTCAAACATGTTCACTGTACAATTGCAGTGGGATTTTATTACAATTAGTTTTTGGTATATCAAGAAGAATTAGCATTAGACACACTTTTTTTTTTTTTTTTTTTAATAAAAACTATAATGCTATCTGAGCACAATAAAAAAAAAAAAAAAAATGAACATCATGATAAGTTTCATAATGCTTATATTATTGTTCTAAAATCTTTTAGTTAGGTGAAATTTATATTTTTATTACAGTCGCTGGTTTGTTTTGATTATTGCTGCTGTTGTGCTATTTGCACTAAATTTTCTATTTTGTAAACTAGTAAATTCTATTTAGTAAATTGTAGTAAACTGTCCTGAAAATAGTTTTACTTTGTCAGAATGTTTGACACCACTCCCGTAATCTTGAATGTCCTTATTATAATGATAGAAATATAATGAAATTTCTGTCAGTTTTATTACTTTTTCTCAGTTCAAACAAAAAGGGCGATTGCCTATTGGTTTATTCTCAATAAAGAATCATCAAAAATGTTTGATCTAAATTGGCTACACACGATTCTTGTGCTTCTCTTATTAGTTGTGTCATTTATATTTAAGTCATTATTTGATTATTAAATATTGCAGTAAAAAAAAAAAAAAAAAAAAAAAAAATAGTATTTTTAAACTTTAATCTTCATGAAGAAGCACTAAAGAATATAAATAATGGTTTTATGTTTTAGGACAGAACTACTCCAGCAGAAACCGAATTTCAGATTATGACTTTGATGAATTATATAATGGCTATGAAGCTTTGTTAAACCCTACGTCTATTAATGATTTCACAGCAGCAGCTTTCAGAGCTTTTCATAATTTAATTCCTTCAACAATGGAGTTAGTATTTGGCTTTGATATTGTGGCGTACTTAAGCTGAGACAGAGGGAGTGATTTGCACTGATTTCACTAAATCTACTTATTTTTTTAATTACATGATAACTTTATTGCAAAAAAAACAAAACAAAGTTTTTGTAGTGAGCTAAAAACATTATTGTTTTTTAAAAAATGTTTTTTATTTTTGCTTCCTTACTACTGAATGAAGAGAATCTTTGTATTTGGAGGCTCCTCAAAAATATATCTTTCTCAGTATTCCTCACTATGGAAACTATACAGGATTTTATTTTTTTAACTGGTTTTCAATAATATAGTAATAAACATTAATCAATTTAATTTTTATATTTATGCATGCTGTAGATCAGTCAATGAAAATTAATGATTTATTTTTAATGCTTGATAAATAGTTAAGAATTTTATAACTAAGATTTTGTAGCCAAGAAGCAATTAGTAATTTGGATTTTTATATTTACATATGATACTTTACTAAGAATTCATAAATTTTTCATCATTTCAGTTTAATAAAAGAAAGCAGATGCCCATTTACATCGTTATTTCTATCAGATTGGTTCTTTAGACCAAGTATAATTCAACAACCTGGATTTTTGGATGGCTTCATTAGAGGTTTGACTACACAGAGGTCTTTAAAATTCAACAATTATTTTTCTGAACAGGTGATAATTCTGTCTCAGCCATCAAACCCTAAAATTGTTATAAAAAATAATATAATAAATTAAAAATGATATCTTTTATAGGTTACAGACAAACTATTCAGATTAGAAGCTCCCTATGGAAGTGATCTAGCAGCAATTGATATCCAACGTGGTCGAGATCATGGTCTAGCTCCTTACAATGAATACCGTGTAGCATGTGGTCTTTCTCGAGCAGTGAATTTTTCAGACTTTAGTGATGTAATCAGTTCTGAAGTAAGTAATAGAAACTTCGCTTGCTCAAATAAAATACATTTTACCCAATTTTAATTAATTAAATAGACAATTATTGAATATTTGTTTGATATTAAATTATCACAGGAAATATCTTTTTATTTATGAAAAAAGAGTTTTTTTTTTGTTGTGGTCTTGGTGCGGCTTTTAGATCTTGTAAAAGGAAAGTCAAATTGGTTGCCAATAATATTTTAATTGTCGGGGAAGTGGTAGTGAAAATGGTACACTGGCTAGTGGTAGGGAAGGTTTCTAGATGAGATGGTGCACGGAATGTAATCGAAATATGGAATGTAACTGAGTAGTAGAACGGTTAAAACTCGAAAGACTAATAGGTAAAAAACGTTGAGGTGTAGTATTCCATACAGGTGGATGGGGATGGGGGACGACCTTTATTAGATAACTTGGCCTTGGGTGTCATGACTGAAAACGTTAGTCGGGGAGGTAAAAACTTGTATCGGCGGGGTGGGATGGATTTTTAGGGTGAATGGGATGTTCTTATAGGGTTAAATTAAATGCTGGGTGACGGGGGTGGGTTGTGAGGCGGTTTGGTTGGTGACTGGAGAGGTATTACGTGGGGGCTGGGGGGGGGATGTAGCTTAAGTCAGCGGGGATGTACGGTAGTAATCGGGTTAGTGTTGGCTCAGGTCTTGTGTGGTGCTGGGGGGGGACGAGGGAGGAGGGTGGTATAGATTGTGTCATGGTGTGTGTGTGTATATGATAGGATGTATGTGTGTTGGTATTGTGAAGAACCAGGCGAAAAATGGGGTCCCACTACTTGGGGGTATGCTGGCATAGCATTTGTAATGGTTAAATCAATAAAGGAAATTAAGCTTTTTATAGATTATCTATTAAAACATTGTTGCAAAAAATATTTTCAAAAAAATTTATTGCTAATAATCAAGATTAGTTTCTTCATAAAAAAATGTGTTACTGTATTTGTTAAGATAATTTCTTAACAAATTATTTTTCCATTTGATGTTTTAAACTTTTTTTCTTTAATTATATTAATAGTGAGATGATTGTTTGTTGCCTAGAATATCCAGTTATTAGCTGAGTACTATACAAGCGTTGATGACGTTGAGTTATATATAGCCGGTCTAATGGAAAACCATGCTGATGGAGCTTTAACTGGCCCAACTTTCCAATGTATCCTAGGAGAACAGTTTGTAAGATGGAGAAACGGAGATCGTTTTTATTATCAATTTAGTAATCAAGCTGGTTCTTTTACTCCTGGTAATTATTTTTGTTATTTTTTAAAGTGTTATCGTTTAGTAAAGTAAATTTGTTTGGTAGAAAACCAATATTGGTGTCCTTCCATATTAGAATTAAGTTATACTCTTGGTTAGATTTGTAGCTAACAAGACAGTCTACATTTTTCTGTATAAACTCTCTGATCTGTTATTTTAATGAAATGGTAAAATTTTATATTTTTAAACCTATTTTGACTTTTTTCATGTGAAATATTGAGATAATCTAGTGTTAAAATTATGAAGTCAACCCTTATTAGTAAATAAATTCAATAATTGTTTCATAACAAATATTTGGTTTTAATATTTTACACCAGTAATCTACACACACACCACACACACATATATATATAAACTATATGAATGTCATTATCTATTTACAGCACAGTACAAACAACTTCAAAAACTAAGACTATCTTTGATATTTTGCCGTAATGGAGACAACATCATCAATATGCAACCAAACGTTTTTTATAGGCCAATATCTTCGTAAGTTATATATTTAATACATAAGCACTAAATTTGTCCTTCGTATTTTATTATTTATTTTTTCTACTGTTCATTGTTGGCTACTTGTTAGAATCCTCCTACAAGCAGCCAAGTTGGGTAAAATTGCAATTCAATCACATCAGAAATTGGTTCATAAATTATGATTAATAAATAAAATTTTAAAAATTGAAATGTTACTTGTTTGTCATATGCCCCACCAAAAAATACTATTTAATTTATAAAAAATTACAATCACAAATAACAGGATGTGTTTATTTTTGTAAAAAAAACAATTAATTTTACTTTCTTTTATAATTAAAATATACAACAAGGGAAAGTATTGTGATTGTGAAAATTTCCCATACAAATAAATATTTTAAGAACTCCTGAGCCTGAATAACCTAGTCTTGCAAAATGTTCAATGTGTTTGTGTATAGCCTAGCTCAAAAATGAAAAGTCTTATGAAAGTGTATTATGTATTTAAGCTACTTATGTGCCTGGGATGTCACAGTAATTTTTAAATATTAAATAACTTGATTAGTAAATTCTTCCTAAGAAGTATCTTTTTATACCTTGTCTTTTCTTATTTCCTGATTTGGCTGGTCCTCATTATCTTTTTACTGATTGAGTATGGGTCCCAGTTAGTAAATTCATAAAATTGCATTTACAGTTTGCCTTGATATGGTTGTAATCCCTTTCTGTAGGTTGTAAAAATACAATTTAAATATTTTATTTTATTTTTTGTGGGGTATATAACAAACAAGTACCATTAAAATATGAGATTTATTAATCAATTCTAACATTCACTTAATTTTTTAACTAAATGAAAAAACTTCAGATGATTAAAATTGTATTCTGTACGAACTGAAAGATAGATAATTGATTGATTTCAGTCTATAATTCCAAGTAATGAATAAAACAAAATTACAATGTTCACAGTATAGATTTTAACTTTAAAAAATGTTCTGAGGCATTTAGAAGCAAAGAGAAAGTTATTTTGATTAATACCATTAAAGTTTGTTTTTCTTTCATTTGCCTCATACCCTAAGAATTGACAATTATAAAATTAATATTCTGCAATACTGATTTTATAGTTATGATTATTATTTTTAATTTTGACTGTGTTTTCTTTCAGTAACCAGCTGGTACCATGTTCAGAACTGCCACAACTCGATCTGACACCTTGGAAAGAAAATCCATAAATGGAGGAAACAATTTTATTTATTGAAAATGTAATTTTATTTGTAAATAGGATATTATATTTTTAAAAAGTATGTATAATAAAAGACCTTTATTGAACTCCTCTGTATTAAAACAGTATATATGATAAGAAAGACAACTCATTACAATCCTGCCTAATAGATAACAGATATAGCTATTTTCATTCCTTTTTTTCTCCTGCAATTATTGACTATCCTTCTTCATCCGTTGGATCTTTTTGAAATCAAAAATAAACTTTTATTGAAATCCTTCAGTTCATTTGGGAGAAATGAATATGCACTTCTTAAATTTGTAAAAAGGCTTTCTCACTTTTTTAAATTTATTTTAAATTTTTTTTCCCATTGCACAATAATAAAAAAGGACACCAGATTCATTAAGAATTTCTCGAATTAAGATATGCTTATTATGCTAAGCGGATCATTAGCCCAATTAAATGAACTTAAATTAAGTTAACAAATTTTATGTCTTTCATGAATTTAATTAATCTTAGTATTTTCTCTTCATCATCTACATGTACTTCAGATATAGTGGAAGGTATATTATGTTTTGTTCTGTTCTCAGAGTATAGTCTGCAAGTTTTTATGTTTCAGTGTAAGTGATGTATTGCATGTATCACAAAATGGTGATTCCAAACCTCTCATTAGGTAGCCATGGGTGAAGGCTGCATGTCCATTCTCAGTTGTGTTAAAATTATTTCTTCTGAGCTGGTCTTTCTGAATGAGGTTGTCCATGGTTGAATGTCCTTTTTAATTATTTTCAGCTTTTTTGTAGATTGGTTCCACTTGATTAGACATTTTTTATTTAGCATTTTTTCGCACCATCATCTCCAGTCTGCAGTGGTGGTTAAATTGATCATTGTGGTCCCATTTCTTTTCTTCTAGCGAGATTTGGAGCCCTGTCTGCAGCTTCCTTTCCAGATATGCCACAATGTGAGGGCACCCGATGTCTCTGTCCGGCAACTTCTTCATCTTCCAGAGGCAGTTTTAGATTTTCCTCAAAATAGCATCGTCTGAGTTTCCTTCAGCAATG